CATTGATTTTCTTGGTCCTTACCCTCGATCGAGAAGTGGAAACATAGGCATTTTCATTGTCCTCGATCATTTCTCTAAATTTGTATTTTTAAAACCTGTTAGAAAGATAAATGCTGATGTCGTAATAAAGTATCTTGAAGGAGAACTATTTATGACATTCGGAGTTCCAGAAACTGTCGTATCAGACAACGGATCACAATTCCGTTCGGTAGCGTTTCAGAAACTTATGAAGCAGTACGAAATCTCACACACGCTAACAGCTGTTCACTCGCCTCAGGCCAACGCTTCTGAGCGCGTAAATCGTTCTGTCATCTCAGCTATTAGAGCGTACTTGCGTCCTGATCAAAAAGACTGGGATGAGTATTTGAACAAGATTTGTTGTGCTTTACGATCTTCGTTTCATTCTAGTATAGGTACCACACCATACTATATGGCTTTTGGTCAGCATATGGTTACTTCAGGATCAACTTACGCTTTGTTAAGAAAATTGAATATGCTAGACGACCGCTCGCTATTGTTTAATAGACAGGATTCTTTCCAGATAATTCGCGAAGAAGCTGGTAAACAGATGCAGAAAGTTCACGATCGTAACGAAAAGAGATACAACTTACGTTCAAGAGAAGTATCTTTTGTGGTAGGACAGGAAGTATTTCGACGTAACTTCAAGCAGAGTTGCTTTCAAACAGGTTACAACGCCAAATTTGGACCTTCCTTCGTAAAAGCACGCATTAAAAGAAAGATAGGTAATAATTACTACGAGCTTGAAGATTTGCAAGGGCGACTGTTGGGTAATTATCACGCCAAAGACATTCGCCAATGACGTCACTCCAGGCGGTATCAGCCTAGGGTATCTAGAATGAAATACCCTAGTCTGATTGCGGCAGGGGGGTTTTGTAACGGCGCCTGTAGCGACCAGATAGTTTAGTTCGGCCTAGAAGCATGCTTTAAAATATATCTAAGCTCGGCTTAGTGTCTTAGCTAATTACACATATGTTTGATAAATCAGCTGTAACAGAGATGCAGTGGGAAGCTCGTTTTAGACATCTGGTGTTATCATCTGTGGCGAACTTCCGACCATACCCTAGCCTAACACTACCTATATTTGGTAAGGTTCTTTTCTGATTGACATCCGATATGAGCAGACGTGCCAATTTTTCTCAACGTCAACAAAGTTTTGTTTAAATACTATATATTGAAATCGTGGAAAATAATAAGAGGAATAAGTGCAGCGAGCCTAGCTGAGTAATATTTTTGTGATTAATTTTGGAAAACTATTGAGATGTAAGTGGTGGAAGTAGATTTTTTATCAATTCTAACCCCAGATTTTCTTTAGATATATATGATATATATATTTCTCACGTGGCCATCAATACTGGCATCCGTGGGAGCTCCCCTTCAAGACAGTGGGGGGCATGATTTAATATCGTGCCCCAAATTAAATCGGACAAGAAAAATGAGGAGTTTCAACTGGAATTAAATTCAAGAATGCGGCATTAAAGAAGTGATTTGGAGAGATGTTTAACCCTCTCTACCCACGGCAGCAGCAGCAGCAGATTTAGTATAGCCAAATATGGACACAAAAGGGAATGTATAACCTGGAATTTCTTTTAAGCCGCTACTGCGATTTTTTTTAAAGTGAAATATTATAATTAAAAATTTGAAAGTTTTGAAACGTGCCAAAGTGAAGAAAATTTAATGAATCAAAGATAGCAACATGCCGTAAAAATCAAGTTTAAGTGATATTTTCTAAAGTCTGAATGATTCAGTCTAAAACGTAATATTTAAATTAAATTAAATTTAAAACTTAATTTTTCACGAGTGGAGTTATTTACGCATCGATTTTGTTTTGGAAAATTCGCTCAACTATGACTTAAAAGCGATAAATTAAATATTTATTTTTTTTTTGTAAATTTAAATATAATTTGAAAATAGCAACTTCTGATAAGAAACAATAGTGAATATTAAATTTAAAAATGTGGTTAAGTGAAGATATCACAGTCGCTTCTCAGTAAAATATGTAGGCCTAAAAGGGTTCCAAGTTAAAAGATTTTTATAGAATAGTTTTGTGTTTTCGAGCCCCAATTTCACCCTTTACAGCCACCTGCCCGGGAGATCGATCTTTCGCCGCTGGAACAACGTATAAGCTGTGAGTTTATTATTCTCATTATTGCATTTATATCTATTCTATTTATATCTTATTGCGAAATACTCTATGAAATAATTTTTAACAATCTACTTGAATGAAACTGTGAATTTAAAAGAACCCTGAACCGATAGCCTCACTAAACTAAATTAAATTAAACAAAAAGATATCAAACAGAATGAAGATGATTTAGTGAAATAAAAAAATAAATTAAAGCAATGAAATTTAAATATCTATTGTTATACCAGAGTAATATTTTTTATTGGTGAAGTACGATATCTGAATACCCTATATTTTTCTTATTTCTTATCTTTTTAAATATATACGAACATTATAACTACTTTAATTTATGAGGATAACATCATTTAAATATTTAAGTATCTAAATAGTATTTTTATCGCCTGTATATCATTTATTATATTTATATAAAATTTGTAGTATCTACCTGTTAGCAAATAACAATAATGAATTCTTGTATAACTATTAATTAAATTGTATTTGAAATGAATTTCGAGTAGTTCACGTTTTTTTTAACTCGGCTGATGCTTCCACAATCGTAGGGTATTAGGGGTCACCGGAGTTTAGCTCTGAAGGATGGTGATCATAGGTAGGGTGGGCATTTCGCGACCACGACAACATCTGTGGCATCGCTGATTCTAACTTTTCTCGATCTTTTCTATCTCTTGTTTTTTTTGAATTTTATCTATTTCTCTTCTGATTTTGATATCTCGCATTTATTTTCGTCAGCACACTCAATTCTGGTCTTAAAAATAATAATATGTAGCTAGTGTGCGGATTTGTCTAAGCAAGACCTCCACCCCCAAAGCAGACGAGCGAGAGCCGGACCCTATAGTGTGCACCCGCAAGGACAGATCCTAGAACTCACCACAGAATACCTTCGTTACACGCTACAAGCTATTAGAATTCTTCCATAGAATCAGGTCATTCTTGTGCAAAAAAGCAAATCAATTTCTATATTTAAATGAATTTTGAGGAGATCCAATTAAAGTCAATTTGACTTATGCAAAATCAAGGCAGCCCTGAATAGAATCCCCACTTCTGAGTATTTTATACTTGTCTTCTCTTCATCTTAGACGCTGCCTTTCGTTCGACCCTGACAGCCATGTCAAATTTTTCTTCCATCAAAAAATATCTAATTTTATTGTACACTTTATTGATTTTTAATGTGATTTTCTAGCCAGCCAGGCCGTTGTAGCCGTTCTGGCATCGGCAGCTTCAGTTTGCCAATCGCTGGCCCTTAATAGTTGCCCATAATGGGGTTCTATCCATCAAGCGTGTATGGACAAACATGCTACATATATTTATAAAGGGCGGGTAAACGGGTAAACCGTATTCAGTAGGCCACCATCGTCTTTTATGGCCGACACTTGACAGAGTAACCAAAAGAAAAGGATTTCCTTCGCCCTCCTTCGAGGATGGCAGCTGCCTAACAACGAAAGTCAATTTATTGTGGAATATTTTATGTGACACGTTATGATAGTCAATATAATTCTTCGTCGAGCATATTACTACCATACATAGATGGCCAAAAGGACGATGGCTTGACGATGGTTGGAGACTGGCACATGGTGTGCCATTTCTCACGCTTTCGAGCAATTTAAACTTTAACCGTTTTCGACAGAACTTGTTTGGGGTATCACACACACACATATACATATATATATATATATAAATACAAATGCAAATATATAGAATGACATTCCCCCCTATTTTGCTCCGAATCGATTGCTGTCTGCTTTGAGCGATTTTTCGTAGTTGTTTTCTATACAAGTATATAAATCTTTATGCACTTGATACAGTTTTGTATGAATATAACTAAACCAAATACGAACATACATTTGAGAAAAAATATGAAATAAATCCATTATACACTAATACAAATATACACTGAGAAAAAATTGGCAATAGACTAGTCGCATTTTGTATCCTAATTCTTTAAGTATATTTGATTAATTTTTGCTCTTTATTTAGAACTTATTTATTTTGTTGGTAGCTTCAGTTGACCGACTTTAAGGACATAAAACACATATTTCATGCTAACTTTGCGTAGTGTTTGGCTTTTATAATTGCAATATTTATGTGCCACACATCCTTAAAACATTCAAACTGAGCTGAAAAGGCTGCGCTAAAATTTATGTCCATGCCAAATGACCAAGAACTTGACCGCAATAACAAATGGCTCTGCATTTTGAATTGACCGAACTCTACGAATTTATCAAAAATGTGTGTGCAGTTGGGTGAAAGCCTTAAGAAAAGCCGACCGCAAACCGAAAAATTAAGACCTCGACCGAACCCCAAAAAGCCCCAAAGCGGACAACACCTGTGAGGATTCACAGACCAATTTGCACGCAGCACCAGCACCTCGTCCCCCTTTTCGTCCACGGACCACCAACACAATTTTGCACATTCTCACATTAGTTTTTTTTTTGTTTTTGGCCAGAAACAATTAAAATAATGACAGCAAAATGTGGCAGGCAACCGGGGGGAAAAAACGGACAACAAAAGCGGACCGCAAAAAGCCGGCAACTAACGAAATTCAGATGGGGACTTCAGGGGCTTTAGTAGCGCGGACACGCCCACAGTAAAAGTTAATTAATAATTTCGGGAAATTTCGCTACCATTACCACTACCACTCTACGAACAACACGTTTTTGTCCAAAGCAATTTCCGAATTTTCATTTAATTTGGTTAATTTTTCGGTTAGTACGTTTTGCTCCGTTTTTCTTCCTCTATCTCTCTTCCTCCTTCACTTGTTGTTGGTTTTTCTTGTTCCGTTCTGCTCGCATCTGTCCTCTCTTTTGTGTCTCTTCTATTGCCACATTTTTTCTTAACGCAGAGATGTGTGCAGATACTGAAATCGTCACGTCAAATCAGTATGACGGTGAGAGCGCCGCCCACTCTCAACTCGACCGCCCCGCTGCACGGCTTCGGTCCGCCCTCCCGCGACCCCATGTACGCATCGATGGCTCCCCCCTCCACCCGCAGAACCAGGCGGCGGCGGCGGCAGCAGCGGCGGCGGCGGCCTCCGGGGCGGGTCTGCCCTTCCGCCAGACCTGCTCCTGGATGGACCGCCACGGACGACCCGCCTCCCCGCCCATGGAGTACGGGGGCAGGCGCAGCGACCGACGGGATCGGTAAGTAAATCGGATAATTATTCAAACATTTTCTAAAACCAACTTCAATTAATGATAAAGGTTTCTAAAAGTTAATGGTGATATTATGAAACCATCTCAAAAGGGCGTTTCATTCACATCCCTAACAAAAAAAAATATAAAAATTTTAATATCAATGTGTATTCAAATGTTTTGATAAATGTAATATTCCCACACAAAGAAAGCGGATTTTCTTAAGCTCTTTAAATTAAAATAAAAGTTCCTTAAAAAAAGGATCATAAAAATCTCTGTTTAAACAAACTTTTTCAATAAAAACATTCTGGTTTTCTTTAAAAATTTCCGAAATCGAAATACATTGTTTTGAAAATCTGTTTCTCAACATAATAAAAAACTTATCTCAACAAAAAATTTTAAGGGTTTTCATTGTAAAATCAAATATATTTTAAAAGGAGATGTTCCTTCTATACCTCTTTTGCTCATTAATTAATTTACTTTATATTCTTACTTTTCCTTCCAATCCCCTTTTAACCCTCTAGAATACGTCGTGTCGAGCTGCTAATCGAGCCCGGTCAATCGCTGGGCTTGATGATCCGTGGCGGGGTGGAGTACGGCCTGGGAATCTTCGTCACCGGCGTGGATAAGGACAGTGTGGCCGATCGGTCCGGACTGATGATCGGCGACGAGATCCTCGAGGTGAACGGGCAGTCCTTTCTCGATGTGACGCACGACGAGGCGGTGGGTCAGTTGAAGTACCACAAACGCATGTCGCTGGTGATACGTGACGTGGGCAAGGTGCCGCACTCCTGCACCTCCATCGAGATGGAGCCCTGGGATGCCTACAGTCCAACGGGCACAAGGTGGGTTCATCAAAATCCTAAAATTATTCCTGATACTAAAAGGTTTCTTATTTTGTTCTGCAGAGCACGCCGAAAAGGTCAAATTGCGACCATGGTGGAGGAGAAGGCGCGCTCTCTGCTGCCCCGTCATCATTTTGCAAGCCTTTCCTACTATATTGCCGAATATAGTGCGAAAGCAATGACCATAGATGCCTTTGTTGCCGTCTTATTAGAGATGTTAGATACGTACGAAAAGGTGAGTTTTAAAGGTTACAGAATAACTTACCTCAAAAATTTATTTTATGGAAAATAAACTGTAGCTGATTAGATATTTTTATAAACAATTTAAAGAGGTATACCCCTTGTAAATCGGACACAAATTAGAAAAGTTATAGACTTAAAAGTGTTGGGATCTGGTCACTTTTCTGCAAATCTATTTCTTGCAAATTTTGACAGGTCGGGGGTCATAAAAAATGACAAACTGTGGACCAAAAAATCGAAATTAAACTAATGATGCAGCTGATTAGATATTTTTATAACAAATTTAAAGAGGTATGCCATTTGTAAATCGGATACAAATTAGAAATGTTATGGACTTACAACTAGTGAAAATTCGACAGTTTTAGCAAGTCCAATGTTTTGTAATTTTTATTAAAAGTAAATTTGTTTTACCACTTTCAGCACACGCTAGTGACGGAGATACGGGAACTTGTGTTCCCCGAGGATCGCACGCGATATGACGAGTTGGTCTATCGCAGAGAACGCGATCCTTACAGCGTGGATAGGCATAGGGTAAGTCAAAACAACCCCCCATTTTGAGTAACCCCTATGTAAATCCCTATGTTTTTTACAGCGTAAGGGAGACCCCGCCCGTGATTTGCCGGTAAGCTTTTTAGAAGATTTATTCTACGACACAGACACAATATATACCTAGTTCAGAAAGCCACTTCTCTAATCTAATAAAATACACACTGAGCATGTTCAGCCAAATAAACTTAAACTAAACGTTGACCACTGCTCAACTGGCCTACTGTCTTCTATTCGTCTATAACTACTACACTATTATATCGCCTAAAAAATGTTTATTGTTTAGTATATATTTCTCCTCTTGCTGTTGTTGTTGATAATTGTTGTCACTGTATGTTTGTAACTTTTACTTTAATTTATCTGTTTCAACTGTAGTCCAAATACAAATAACACTCGACAAAAAGAAAATCAAAACAAACTTGTAGTTTAATTGTTGAACGAGATACACTTGATACTTTCTTTAGCCACCAACTCTAAACCAGTTAATACTTCTTTCATTTCCCGAAAATTGCATGAAGTTTTCTTTCATTTATTTTCTTTTAGAAAGCTTTGAAAAACTTGCTTATTTCTGATTCGGCCCTTAGAAGAAAAATTGCATTTCAAAACAAAAGCAATCAAATCGAATGTCAATTTTTCCAAACCAGAACACAAAAACATACAATTTTAGTTACATTGTAGTGGCAAAGGTTTTTCTTATTTTTTAGCAATAAGATGGAGACACCAAATTTCGCCAAAAATAAAACAATGTAAACTAAGCAAAACGAAAGAATCTCGGCATCATATCACAATCATAAAACACAGCTTCCTGCAGATAGGAAGTTGCAATCAACTTAACAGCTTGGTTTCAATTGGGGCTAAACTGTTTTTGTAAATAAACAATTTTTTTAACCTGGGAAATGACAGTGATTTAGTTAACTGTTAAATAGTTATTTTTAGCTATAGTATTACGTTTAAGTAAATTACTGTAAAATAAAAATCGGACCTATGTAATCCATCACAAAAATGCACCCAATGGATAACTAAGAGATCACAACAGTCACCAAGAATCAGCACCAATATATCCAAATAAAAAAAAATGATATAACTATCGATCGAAGTACGAATGCACTCCCAGACACTCTATCTCTGTCGCTCTTCAGCTCTGTCTCTATCTTTCTTTCTCTGTCTTTGCTCAGTAGAATTCTACAGAAGCTTAGATTAGAACCCCTCTCACCCACTCACTCTCAAACTGTTCAGCTGTCACTGCCTCACTCGCTCTGAATCGTATGCAAACCAAATCGTTCGTTTCGTTTCGTTCCATTCCGTACCATTCCGTTCCGTTCCCCAACAGGTAACTGCCGATGATTTGGAAATTATAGCCGCCACCGGACGGAGTCCTTCTTCGGACTCGGGCCTGGGCATGACAGTAACGGATATACACAAACGGTACCTAGCCAATAACCGAATATCCTTTATTCCTTATCCCAAAACCTAAGCCGTAACTGTACCTCGAACAGTGTTGGGAAGCTGCTTATTTCTGAGCATAGGTAGAAAAGAATTGCGTACCTTTGTACGATAGAATTTCAGTTAAAGCTACTTGAAGGTTATGGCCTGTTTACTTTTCTAGTTAAAGTAATAAGTTCTTAAAAGTCTAGGTAAAGTAATAAATTCTTAAAAGTTGAAATACGGAATAATTATATAGGGATTGCCCAACACTGTTCTTAAACCATCCCCTCCCTACGAAAACAGTTAACTGACCAGTGTATATGTGTACGATAGACCCGCACTACAGTTGCCCCATCGGCCAATGTCGGCGGGACCCATACTGCATCGCTCACAGCCAGCCTCACATTATCAGACAGCAAGCAACCAGTCCTCATCATCATTATCGCCCCCACAACAACAGCAACATCAGCAGCAACACCAGCAGCAGCATGCGCAACAGCAACAGCAACATTATCCACCCCATCATGCCTCATTGCGTCATCTGGGCGGAATCGGCGGCAACGTGGGATCTGGGCGCCATCATCACCATCCGTTGGGACCAAGTCAATTGAAATTCAAGCAGGCCAAAGACAATCAGCAACAGGTCAGGAACGAAGCGAGTTGGTCAAAAAAGAGGGTAGCAAGCTGAAAAGTTACAATGCCACATGCCACCTCCTCTATCAGTCCACGCTCAATTTCTCTCAAGCTGTTCTGTTCCGAAAAATTTCAGATCTTGCTGAGGTTCCTATCTCGAAAATAGGCTCTATAAAAAAAATACTTAAGGAGTCGTTTGAGAAAGCTTTCCAAAATTTATCTTCCTCTATCTTTCGGCATAAATTATGCTACCAATTTCATGAGGGTTTCTTTGTTATTTTGGCACTTATTTCTCTTCTTGATTTAGTTTTAGATTTAAGTAAATTTAAAAATTGACATTCGGCCGAGGTTTCAAGTTCCCACCTCTTTGTCTGTCTGTATTTTGTTTTCTATTTATTTTGTATCTTTAGAGTCTTTTACTATCTCTATCTCTATCTCTTTTTTGTATCTATGTCTCTGGTTGTGTGTAACGTCTATTGTCGTTTTTATATGTTTGAATCTGTGTCCATGTTTGTCCAACTGCTCAATGTGGATTATGTTTACGTTTACGTTTTCGTCTCGATTTCCGGTTATGTTGTATACTTCCTTTTTAAATGTTGTCCAATTGGCTATTGAGTGTTGTAATACTGTTAAGTCGCATTAAGACCAGTGCCAAACTGAATTGGTAAACCGCAAGCAGAAAAGCTATATATTTTGTAAATTCTTTTATCCCGGCTTAGGAATACGGCTGTGATGAGCACAGAACTCGCCGGGGCAGCGAAACCCTTTTACCGGAATACGATCAAGATGCGGTGAGTAAGCGAAGCGATCGCGTGATTTTTACCTAGGAAGTTTATTTGGGGTATTACCTAAAGCATTATAACGAGTGATTACCATCACGCAATAGCAAAATAGAGTTTTCCTATCTCTATCCACTTTAACTCTACCATTTGTTCATTCCATTAAGTTTCATTTCATAATCAGCACACCACTTTAAACTCCTCTTTAAATAACCAAACACTTGATTTACTCTTTATTCTTTGTATTTGTAACTGTATCTGTATCTATAGTAAGTTAACTAATCTAACACTAAACTTAAGATCTATTCTATGTGTAGTATATGGGGTTTATGGTTGGTTAAGTCCTCCTTAAATCTTGTCGTGCATGGAGCCCTCGGCCATCATGGGCAGATGGTAATCGCGCGGCGGTGTAAAGGGTCGCACAAAGTGCCGCCACTGACGGTGGTGCAGGGGCGGGGGCGGCTGGATGGGCGTGGTAGCGGTGGTGGCCACCACCGCATGGTGGTGCTGCTGATGGCAACTGTTCGGCTCGAATTTCGGGCGTGGTATGCGCAACTGTTTGATCTCCGTCAAATAGGTCTCCATGTTGTCGCCAGTCGCCTGTTGATGTTTGATTTGTTTAAATGATTTGTTGTTCTTTGGTCAAGTTGCAATCAGTGTGGAGTGGACTTTGTTTGAGGGTTTGTCATTGCACTCGATGGCCAAAGTCAGAGAAAGTAAATATTTGGAATGGGTTGGGGTGTAATGCCATCAATGTCCTGGCAGCGTAAACTTTCAACGACCTTGACGGAATTAGAACTATTTAAATAACCCAATAAACGTTTAATTCATTCAGATTGAATTTTGGCAATCCAAACCAAAAGCTAATTAAATTGCTACGAAACTAAATGGTTAAACTATATTTAGATAAGCATTTATTTAAAGTTCAAATGGAACATAACTAGCATATTTCATTTAGTTTTACTTTAAAGGAATAGTAATTTAAAGAATTGGGTCACGAAGAGTAAACCATGCTAGAACCATTCTATGTAGAATCACACGTTAATCAAGAGCTATTTTCCCGTTCAGCTAACTTTACTTATTCACTTAGGTTCTTATTTAATATAGAGGGGAAACTCGACTGCTTCAATCTTTTGATAAATGCTCCCCCTTTGAGCAAACTTCGCCAGTGAGCCACTCGGGTCTCCCGCACAACTTGTTGAGTAAGTGCAGCAAAAGTGAAAGTAAACTCACCGCCAAAACCCCAATGTACAGTTTGTAAGTGTATAGTATGTGTGTGTTGGCTAGAAGACAAGAAAATTGCAATAATTTCCGCAAAAGGCGTTCGACCATATCACATGCAGGCAGGCAGTCAAGTTCAGGGAAGGATTTTCATTTAGGTTCGCACGAAATTGATTTGGATTTGTGCGGCAACAGTGGGCAAGCGGGGGGAAAGAAATGAGAAGCTAAACGGATTGCGATCCGCTTACTTAGCCCTGTTTACACAGCTGACACCATTTGGGCCGGCTTGACCGACCGATGAACGATGGCCAATGGCGGGATGAACGGACCAGACTCAGACGCCAAACGGCAGAAGGCAGAAGGCAGTAAAGGCAGCTGAGTAACCAGTTTGATTTCAACTACAACTGACAAACAACTTTTTGCTTGGATGTTGTCGCTTGTCTGGCTTATGGGACACTCACTTTTCGAAATTACAGGGAACGAGTCGAGGCGGCGGGGATAGAAATCGAGGTGGAGCGCGGCACAGATCACAACGGCCAAGACCAAAAACTCAAAGTGGGTCATTAGAGAAATGTACTAAATAAGGTACAAAACTTTGTCAAGAGCAAAACGTAAATGGAAAGTAAATTGTTGTAGCTGCAAGTTTTTCGAAAACCGAAAGAGATGGCAAGAAGTTGTTTATAATGTAAATAAACCATTTGGATGCGTAGCGAAAACCAGTAAGAAGATGAAAACAAAAACAAACCCAAATCCGGTCTACAAATTCAATGGGTGTAAAATAAAATTATGAGATTGAGCCCAAGCGCTGCTAGACTTTCCAGATTGAAGACACGTCTGTCAATAGAGAACACACTCTTTCATAATGAGAACCTTAATTGAGGGGCGGGGTTGGGGGTTCGGGAGGTGTGAAGTCTTGAATCTTGATTAACCGTTATGACGAACTCTTTCACGTCTATCCATTATGTTGTTCTAGCAATCCGGACAGCTTGTCATCTTTTGACATTATTAATTATACTTGACTGGGTTCCCCGGGGGTCGGGTAATTATATTAACCTTTCTAAGCACCCTTAAGAAAATGTGAAGTTTTCGTTGACCTTTGGGAACAACTTTGAACTACCATAGAACAATTAAAGTGGAACGACAATAAGAATTCAAGGGCATAACCAAGAAAAAATGATTTAAAATTTCTAATAAATTTATCGAAAAAGAAACTAAATGTTATTTTCCATTCCAATTTTAAAAATACTTTAATATGCAATTATCTTCGGAATTATTTCATAAACTAGTTAGTTAATTGGACAACTCTTTTATGAAACTTGATCATGAAACCTTTTCCTCCTGATTTTTTATCAAATATGTATGTAGCAATTTTTTAAAATTTGGTCAACATAATTTGGGTTAACCGGAATTTTCGTTGACTTGGGTTATTATATTTTTTTGCATTCGATACTTTGCGAGACGGGTGACAGTTTCACAAGCACCAATTTAAAAATGAATTTGAAAAACGTAATTCGTTCGACCTTGCAAAGGCATTAGTAAGATCCAGCTTTTGGATTAAAATACGTTCGACAACTCCATCGAAGCGGTGGAAAAATGGTGAACTCGGTGTCCCCCGTTCGCCCCACGATGCGTATCCAATGACAAAGAGGTGCCCCTGTCCCCAAGTTCCCCCCGATTCCCCATTGCCCATTCCCCAGCCTCCGCCGATCCGAACAAACAACGAGGTCAATGGCATGTGCTATGAATGATGATTGTCAGCTTTTCGATTCGAGTTACAAAAATTGAGCTACTGCTCAATAGCTACGGCTAAAAAACCATCATCTAACACGACACCAAGAGACTTGCCTGCAAAAGTTTGCAAAGTCATAAATTTGATTGATTTTGAAATGTTTGCCCTGAGCTGCTTATCGAAAGACCCAACAAAAAAAAAATAACGAATGAACAAATTGAGAGAAAAATTGTCAGAAAATGATGTGCGTATGGAAAATACAGTTAAATGGGCTGACGGCAATTGACTGAAACTTTTCATTATTGTTAGGAAAATTCTCTTTCTCTTTTCTGTGAAAGTTGTACACGAGTTTGTTCCCCGGTTAACATACATAGTTGAAGTTGTTCCTTGGATTCTGGGGAAATTTTACTGGTTCTGCCAGTCTAGACCTTTTTTCTTTATTTAACTTTTTCTAAAGTTAAACAAAAGGTAAACATTTAATTTTTTTTGTCTAATTCACACTATTGTTGTGGCAACGATGAAGTCAGATGCGTGAGATCGCAGTTGTGTGTTCTGTGTTTGAATAATTTTGTTCACATTTGGGCTAGCTCATTGACCTATAAAGCAACTCTGACAGCTGACCGAATGTCTACGAATAATTTATCAACTCTCAAGCCCTGATTTCGTTGATCGGTTGTGATGAGAAGTGGGTCAGAGTTGGCTAGAAAAATGATTGGTAAACCGAAATCAATTTTGACGAATGCATTAAGAGCGGACTCTTTTGTGGATATGAAAGATACAGAAGAACGTTTTATTGGAGCAATCTCCATTAATTTTCTCCTCGGAAAGGGTTATTCTTATTTATGCCATTTCCAATGGCAATTACTTTAGTCAGTTGTCAGTGCCCTTGGGCCAAGAAGAGACACACTCTGAAAGGCTGTCCAAAAAGCCATTAAAAAGCATTTCGTTCGTTTTTGTGTTTTATGCGCATTTCTTCCGAACCTTTTCGGCTTTCCCTACAGCTGACAGCCGATGTTTTTGTTGTTGATGTTTCTGGGTCGAAATGTTTAGCAACTATTTCGCAGTCTTTTCCACCAAGAACTCCCACTTCCGTCAGCGTCTTAATTGCAAAAAAGAAAGACAACAAATCAGCCGAAACCGCTGTCTTACTGCGACTTGGCTCCATTCTGGCAATTAAAAAAGTGGCAAAACACAAAAAGAACACAAAGAAAATTAGCTGAGCCGAAAAAGGTGAGAAGTAGAAGTTAATTGAATGCAGAATGCAAAGTAATAAAGCAGCCGACATATGTCTTGACTTCTCTGTCTGTCTGCCAAGAGGCCCCCAAAAAATCAGACAGCAGCGATGATATAACCAAAAGTCGAGCAGAAGAGCCCCACAACAAACTTCTGCTGGCGTTATTATTTAAGCAACAATTTGGTGGCAAACAGAGCGCGAAATGTAACGAAACGCGAGATTTGTCAACTCCACAGGCAACTTGTTTCTCGTTCAATTTAAGCCAAATAATACGCACTTTTAGCTCGATGCTCGTTGGCCACAAAAATCTCTTTTGAAGACTGACTGGGGAATTCAACCTCACGCTTGAAGCGACGACGCGCGACTGAAACTGCAGACTTGGCCGAAGGTAGAGCTGCGGCTCAATCCATAGTTGCCGCTGCCGCTGCCGCCCGGTTGTAGTTGCTCATGTTGCTGCTTTTGATGTTGCTGCTGCTGCTGCCTTTGCTGTTGCTGCTGCGACTGCTGCCAAAAGCCAACCAAGTTGACGATGCCCAGCCAGCCGCAGCAGCAGAGTTACTCTTTTGTTGGCCAGAGTCGTGGGCAGATGGCAGAGACTTTGACCAAAAGATTAGGAGACCTTGTCATATAAATAGAGTTGAACTTCCGTAGGCCTAAAATCGTGGATTGAACTAAAATCCAATACTTATCCATTTAATTTTTCTTTCAAATTTAATTTTAACCTAACTTAAGAATCTTTATGGTAGGGTTAATATAATATTTTTAAAGGTTGATAAGGATTGAATAGTCTTTATGAATGTCTTTCTTCATTTATTTAAGTCTTAAAATAAGTTCGATAAAAACATTTCTTTATTTAAAGGTAAACAACTAAGCTCAGACAAAAGCCACCACGCTAATTTAATTACCGTTTCGATTTATGACAATTTATTATACCTCACACATTTATAAATTAAATATAATTTTAATTCGATACCTTCAAAAATAAAAACACCACTCTCTATTTTGGGGTGTATCTTAGAGAGATTAAAAAGAGGCGAGGTTTATATACCACTTTCATTATCACCACGAAAATAATGTGTAGATAAGGTTATTTTTCAGTTTATTGCATCTGCAAATAATGGTTTTTGTAATACTCGACAATTTGACACTCCATGATATGCAAACATTTATTTCTGCTAGAGCATTTTCAAGTTGTCTTGGCAAACACTTAGTTTTCCTCTTGGGTTTTTCGTTGCGTTGAATTTTGCTTTCTTTGACGTTTTGCCACTACGTTTTCCCAGTTACTTTTTATGGCCTAGTAATGCAAAAAATTACCCACAGCGATGACAGAAACAATGGCAAGGCGATTTGATAAACAAAGATTGTCAATATTTATGACTAAAAATTATACTGCAATTATATCGCCGAGATTTATGTTGTAAGTGCGAGAGTGTAAGAGTGCGATTTACGCAATGGTCAAACTGGAGTGACAAATAAATAAAATGTATCTGTGGGATACTGCAGCTGACAGAAACTGCAGCTGTGCGGCGTTTTTGGTTTCCACTGGCCGCCTTTATTTTCTGTCTTTTCTGTTTATCACTTTGGTTTTTGTTTTGCTCTGGCATGACGTAAACGGAAAATTTGTCTTTTTCTGCCGACTGAGTCAGGCGGGCGTTGATGGCCAGAAAGGCGTTTGCATTTGGCATTGAAAAGAGATGTTGCTCATTAGCAGTTAAGCGATGATAATTAATTTTTCCTTTTCGGTTTACCATCTTCTTTTTTTTTATACTTTTCGCCATCGTTTCACGCTGCGTATGCGCAATGGATTGGAATCGCATTAATTGGAAACAGGAACAGGTAAGCTAAATGTTCGCTGTTTGTTACACTTTAAGGCCAGGTTCCTCTCAACAATTTTGAAAAAATGAAAATTTTTTTTTTTTCATAAATTGCCACTATATACTTGTCGAAATAGTATAAAATTAGTCCCGAAGGTCAGAAAGGCCGAGAAGTAGGTGTAAAAGAGTGAGGAGCGCTGCTGTTAGTACGGCCGCTCGAACACCTTAAAAACTTTAAACTGATTTTTCTCCGAACCACGTTTTTTCGCATGGATGACACTCTCATTTCAAAACTATGGCACTTATCGATTTGAACCAAACGGCATTTTACTCTTAATATGTCTGGCTATGGCCGGTACCAGAATCAGAAATATTCATTATTTTTTAAAAAAGTTATAAACAATTATAAGTGAAAAAAAGGGTTAAAAAAATTCAAAAGTCCGCCATTTTTTTATTTTTCATGGAAAATTTTTCATTCTGGTACCGGCCATAGCTACTTCGATGCAGAACACGAAACTATTTTGGTTTTTGCATTCAGATAATTATTTTTCAAGTAATCGTGTCATCCATCTACGAATCGGACGAGTTTCAGCAGCCATTTTCAGGACCGCCATTTTGAAAAAAAAATTTAAAAAATTTTTTTTAGTAATTTCATATACATACTTTCATATATAAAAAAAATTGAATACTCAACATTTTTTGTTATGAAAATAAAATTAATTGAAAAAAGTACGTTTTTCAGAGGAACCTGGCCTTAAGCACTTTTCGAAACTATCTTTTCGACACGCTCACACACACAACCAAATGCCAACACATACACACACACACATATATATATATATAAACTCAAATATACATATACATAAATAACAAAGGAAAAACAAATAAGGAAGCAATCGTAACGAAAGAAAAAGAGCCACAAAAACTCTTGTAAATACTTAGCTCGCTACTCTGTTTAAAACCATTTCTCTAACCAATTTTGCCGCTGGGGATTCGTGTGCATAATTTTCAAATGCAAGAGGTGGAAACCGGGGCGTAATTGAGGCCCATGCAATGGAGCTTTTGAGGAGATTACCTCACAAAGTTTTGACATAACCAAAGCTAATTAGCAGTGAACGCGTTTTAGTGGGTGTAGGAATAGTTTAAATCCGAGATTACCCAGTAGAGAAAAGGAAATTCCTATTAAAGCCTGAAGGTATGCTAATAAAAGGTATGCAACACTTTAGGCCAAATATTCATGAAGCCAGCAACATTGGGATTAGCAACATGTTGCCTAGCAACATTTGTTGCCAAGCAAAATTGGTTGCCAAGAGTTTGCAGGAAATAATTTAAATTTCGTAAATAACAAAATTAGCTAAATAGCTCATATAGAGAAATATATAAAGAAAACCAAAGTAGCTATTGTAGAAATAACTTGATTTAGATACATAAAACCCATTTTATGGTTAAGAAATTAGTTGATAGGATTTACTTCTTCAATAGTTCATCTAAGTAGTTACGGTTACAACATATAAAAGTAACTTTTAACCACCCGTAATCTTCGACATGTATCCATTACAACTATATACCAAGTAAAAATTATAAGTAGCTTGATTAGTTAAATACAAACAACCTAGGAACCCCACAAAGACCCACAGAATCCTCCTATTTCTTTCTCTCTTTAAACCTAGCACACTGATTTTGAATCCCTTAATTTCCACTCGAGTCTTCATTTCACCCAACACCCTCACCACGTTTTCTTTTTTGGTTCCATTCGATCCATAGAATCCAGATCGCTCTTGAGTTTGGATTTCCGTGACCTCTTGTCCCGTACTCCCCGAAATTGTTCTTGTTTGTTCATTTGTGTGCATTTCAGGGCGGCTACTTAGATGGACTGCGTTCACATTTGGGTGGTTTAACACAACGTGTCAAATCATGGTATTGGGGACGACCTCTAGTAAGTGCCAATGTATTTTTCGTTAAACGTTTAAACGAAAACAAACAAAAATACCTAATAATTAAAAAAAAAAAAAAAACGACACCAGCAACCACAAAATAGAAATTGTGTTCGCAAGTTGAGTGGAATATTTTTTGTGTCTGCAAAATGTTCACACAGTCTGCATTTTGTTTTTTTCTTTTGGAACAGACCTTTCAATTTGCATCTCGTTGCATTCAATTTAGCCTGAACTACTTAGTATTGTTGCTATCACTCTCTCACTCGCTCTCTATCTCTCTCTATCTAACTGTAACTCTGTCTCTCTATTAACTAACTCAACTAACTTAACCGTTTTGAATGTGCATTGCAACGAAAGCCACTGCAAGTGCCATGAAAATACCAAAATTAAAAGATCGTTTTACTAAAATTCGGTTGCATTTCCAGCATTTTGTGTTGTATTCGTAGGAACTGTGTTTTAGTTTTTGTGCTCTCATTCCAAATCAAATTTTGCTTGCCCCACAAGTTAAACAACATTATTTCCATTGTGTTTCGTTTATTTTTTTTACGTTTTGTTTTTTTGTGGCGCACTCGAAAAATTTTCATATAGATTTTCTTAGTCTCTTTGTAAAGTAATTGTCAATGTAAGTATTTGTAAAACAAAAGCTAAACAAGACACAAGACTAAAAAGCCAACAATGCATTTAAAAGCGAAAGGTCAAGCCTTTAAGACAAAAAACGAACCAAAGCGGAATAAAAAGAAGAAAAAAAAAAAAAAAACCAAAAAAAAAAGAAAAGCTTGAAAAATACATTTGCACATTTACGCATGAGTCACCCCGATTTCTAAACACACGCAAAATATCAATATCCGTAACAGCATCGAATAAATTGGTCTTGGTTCACCGCCGACCATATATCACCACCGATCCACCTCTCACACATCGATTCGTAGTGTTTTACCACATTTCTTTTCATTTGCCCTGTAATTAGTGTAAATCCCGATTTATGTTGGCCTTCATTTTAGCTGCTGCTCTCCCACACACACAACCACACACAACCACACACTCACACATCCAATAACGCACCCCAATCCTAGTTAGTAGTTAGCAGCTAGCTCTTAGCCCTGTAAAATACTCGTAAGTTGAAGTTTTGAAGTTTTAGTTAGCGCCACATTTGGTCCTACCTAGTCCGACTTAGTCTAGAAACCACTATCTAAGTGTCTTAGTTGCCAAATCTTGCCATTAGCTTTTATAAATAGATCGTGTATTTATTGTATAGTTGCAAAGCCTTATATTGCACTAACTCCAAGACAAACACAACCTTGACACACACACACACACTGACAAAGTATTCCACAGATACGCACACAGCACTCGCATATTCATAATTTGCACTCTGACCTCAGCTTAGTCAAAGATATTGAAATGTTCAAAGCCGATAGTACAGGAATAAACTGCTCACTTCAACCTTTTTACAGTGATCAAAAGTTTTATAATAAACGAGGTGCATTCGATTTGGAAAATCTAAACTTATAAATATATTAATCCTTTGTATGTAAATTGGTTTGTCTTTAAAACATTTTTGAAAAAAATTATAGAATTTTTTTTCTGAAAATTGTTTTCTGAAAATGTTTGCTTTGGTTAAAATTATAATAATAAGGAATTGATTGAAAACTGTTTAAAAAATCTATTTTATTTTAAAAAGGTTTAGAAATAGCCAAACCTTTTTGTTGAACAGTAAAAAAATTAAGACAAAAATAATCCAGAATATTTAAAATGCCATACAAAGGACTAAAGTATTAAATTAAATTACAAGCACTTCAATTTTGTAAAATCCTTTTTGCCTTCCTTTTCCGATTGTACGATAAATAATATGTAAAAGATAAGCCACGTTCTCCGGTAACAAACTAAAAAACCACTGCCAAGCCAATCAAGCAATCAAGCTTACAACAACGAATAATCCAATATTGTAAAAGGTAACCAAAAATCGAATGCAAAAGGAAAATGAAAACTCTGCAATTCAAAGCAAATCAGCTCAGCTCAGTTCACTTCGAATGCCAATCGATATCCACAATCTCCGACTGTCTCTTTCTCTGTCTTTCTCTTTCTGAAGCACGCTTTGGCATATGCTGTCCCACAATAACCACCCATCCACCGTCCAAAAAAAAAAACAACCCCACCACTCAATTTAACCCACCGTATAGTCAACTGTCATACTTTATTCAATTAAATTTCTACTTGTATGTTTGAAAGTGAGCGAGAAACAAAATAAACAGCAAACACTTTCGAAAACGGCTACAATCAAGAACTTTATATATATTTTAACCATATTTCACACGCAACCAATACAGTCTACCAAGAAATCTACAACGTTATTTATCTCTACTACAAGCAACTACAACGAATTCTTATGCAAATATCTCTACTATTTTCATTTTACATTCAACTTATTGTACGACAAAAAATCAATCAAATGTTTGCTCACTATGCAAAACCCAAAAAAAAAAAAAACCAAACAAATTCATTGCCAAAAAACAATGTGTGAAAACCGAACAAAAAATTAAATGAATAGGAGTTGGCCACAAAACTCTCACGAAGTTTCGATATGAAGGAAGAAGGCGGCACATTGCTGGGCGATAAAGGTGTACGAAGGCATCAGGTGAGTGCTACTCCAAACTAGTGCAAGCACACTAAAATAACAGATATCTACAAATAACAATAATAACTGAATACAGCACTTGAATGCCAACAACAACTTTAATAAAAAAAAAAAAAAAAAAAAAAAAAAAAAACGTATGAGAAACAAAAATGAGTTTCGGCTCGAAATTATCTGAGTAATATGTTATCATAAAACTTTCGTCGGTCTTTTACTAAATTTTCTACAATTTGGTCATCCCAGAACATTTCATGATTCATTCCAAACAAATCACACAAAAGTTTCTACTTTCTTTCTATCTCTCTTTACCTAACTCAAAAATAAACAGCAACTCTGCCATTGAATATTTTTAACTAGCAATATATGTAAATTTGAATTGGCCTACCTTTTCCGTAGCTTGAACCGTTTCCTATTGTTTGAACCACACGTAAATAAGTACAAAATCCCCAAACAATATTTACCAAAGTCCTTGAATCAACCAACCAAATGTTAAATTGCTTGCCTTTACCAAACCACTAAATCTATATTACCAGCTTGAACCAAGTTATTTTTGATCGAACAAAAACACTATTTCAATCTTAAGCTAATCTTAGAAATAATGGAAAAATGTTTTTATCAAAGGAAAGAAGTTCTCTGATTTGGCCATTTATTTAATTGTTATTACTTAAATGTGAATTGTTTGTTTTTCAGTCTATGCAGCGTCTGTCAGCGGAGCAGAATGGTGGTTCAACGACTGAACAAACACATGAACACAATCCAAACGTCGTACCTGATCATAGAGGCAACTTACACATTACAGTTAAGAAAACCAAACCAATTTTAGGTATTGCTATCGAAGGTGGTGCTAATACAAAACACCCGCTCCCTAGGATAATCAATATCCATGTGAGTAATACATGTTATAAAATTTATAGAGAATATGTAAATGGATTTAATTTTAAAATAGGAAAATGGTGCAGCATTTGAAGCGGGCGGCTTAGAAGTGGGGCAACTCATTCTGGAGGTAGATGGAACCAAGGTGGAAGGTCTACATCATCAGGTAAAATAACTATAAAATTGCAAAAATCATTTATTAATGAAATTATTTTGTCTTCCAGGATGTTGCTCGACTGATAGCCGAATGCTTTGCTAATCGTGAAAAGGCTGAAATAACCTTCTTAGTTGTCGAAGCAAAAAAATCAAATTTGGAACCGAAGCCGACGGCGCTGATATTTTTAGAAGCCTAACATTTGCTTGCCCTGCCGGCCAGTGACCCATTGGAACGACAAAAACTCGAGTTCCTTTACGAATGGGGCATCGATTTAACGGAGACGCCAAAACCAATGCCAACACCAATACCGCTAACGAAAGCCAAGAACCCGCCGCCACTGCCACTGCCACACGAGTTGCACAACAACATCAATAGCCACTATGGCAGCAGTGCGGCGATCAGCAATCATCAATCTCAATCTCAAACTCATTCGCATCCACATCAACATTCCCACCAACAGCAGCAGCAGCATCAGCAACAACAACAGCAACAGCAGCAGCAGCAGCAACATCAAAACACAAAAACAACGCCCAACACAAACAGCAACACACAAGCAACACCAACGGGAGCAGCAACAACTGCAAACAAACAACAACAACAGGGAAACACCAACACACCAACGAAGGCTTCGCGTGAGGCGACTCCCACAAGGGAACAGCATCAGCAACGTGCCACGCCCACACGCGAAAGCCAACAACAAACGCCCACCCGCCAGCAGCAACTGCAACGCGAACAACGCGAGCAACGCGAACAACGTGAACAGCAGCAACATCAACGTGAACAACGCGAGCAACGTGAACGGCAGCAACATTTGCGCGAGCAACGCGAACAACGCGAGCGGGAATACCAACACGAACACGAACACCAACACCACGACCAACACCAACACCAACACCATCGTGAACACTACGAGCAACACCACCACCACCACCATCATCATCATCATTCATCTGGATCACAGCAGCAACACCAGCGCTACAGCAGCAGCAACAGCTACAAATCTCATAATAATTCCGTTTACCAGTAAGGAGAAACCAGAAAGCAAGAGTCAAAAATACAATTCTCGCAATTGGAGCTACAATTCTTTTGGAAACATTCTTTCAAAACTGCAACAGCAATTCAATCAGTAAACAGTTTAATTGTGCTACCTTTGTTAAAACAAGAAAAAAATAGGACCTCTGCCTCTCATGCACGCCTCTTTCTACACTGAACACAACGCGCTTGTCAAAATATATACAAAATACCCCGGCTGTATCCGATCGAATTAAAAGTGAATTCTATGAGCCAACATAACCCGCTTAACTAGGCCCTCTAGAAATGTGTTAATTTGTTGTAGCTGATGAGATGCTCTTACCAAAAAAAGAAAAAAAATTAATAGAAATTGAGTCGACAGTTAGGAACAAACCCTTGTTAATTTTCGTGAGTTTGTTAATTATATTACCCACATTTCGAAATATCAAATACAAAATTTTACCACTGCCAAGGTTAAAGAAAAACACTAAAAAAAATGCTATAAAAAATCAAGAGCATCTCTCTCACTTGGCTTTCCGTTCTATCCCCACAAAGTTGAATATGGCTCGCCCAAAGAAAATTATATTAATGTTAGAACCAAGAACCACTCCGATCCTCAACTAGAATAACCAGAGACAAGACCTATCCAGTCCTTAGGAATCCTAAGACCCTCTATCGAACCACGCGCTAGTCGAAATGTGTAAATCTGTGTAAACTCTAAAACATATTATTGTATGATTATTATTATTATACTATTGAGTATCATGCGAGCAAACGTAGCTTAGACCGTTAGTCATTACTTGTTTAAACTAGTGACCAGACAAGTTTAGGTTCACGAGATTACTGTAAGAGCAATGTTATTTGATGATAAACCCACAAAGGCCCCCAAGAAAAGCAACCACAAACCCCAAATAAGGCATACATTAAGAAAATCAAGAGCTTAAAATGTTTAAAATGAACAAGTAAATATCTTAAAAATCCCTTAAACAGTAAGCAAGAAGAAGACGATGCAGAGAAAAAAATATGAACAAAGAATTAAGGCACAAGACACTGTAAAATGTAAAAATAACCAGCAAAACTAGTAACGAATTGTCGCTTTTGTTAGATTCAAACACACACTAACACACACGAATACACGTATGCACGGCACTCACACATACACACGCATGCATATTGCCAAATTGATTGTATTTACAGCAGCTAATTGAACAAAGAAAACCAACAACAAACAAAAATGAAGCCCACCTAAGCAAAAGATAATTTGTAAAAATTAAAAATAATCTTAAAATTAAATCACAAAAAATGTAAAAAGCTATAAATATATATATTAAAAGAAGGAAGCAGTAGCTATGGCCATACACACACACTCACACACTAACACTTACACCAACACCCAATCAGAAATATTTAGCCCGAAAAGCGCATCAATTCTAAATTTTAACCAAAATATCAAATTATATACCCGCAGTGTTGTAAGGTTAATCGATGATCTAAAATTCTTTATGATCAGAATAAATCAAATTTATCATTGCATTTCATAGTTCACCAATTCCGAGATACTTTTCTCGATCAATCTGACAACACCGCAAGGCATATCCCTGTTATTAGTACAACTTAAACTGCACACTGCACAATTTTTGAATGTTTGTTAAATGTTTTAAGGAGCAAATGCCGACACCAGGACAAATCCTCTGCAAAATTGTATTCTCCTCACCAAACTAACTAATGGAAATACCTCGCACCCCAAAAAACCGATCCCCCAAAATCCCAACTCCAATCCCTAAAAAATGGTAAACGAATTATGAAACTGCTAGGGCAGACGGGCATCTATGTCTGTTCTACCATCTTAAATGCAAAAATAACATTAACGCTGTAGAGAACAAGAAGAAATTAACGCTTAAAATTTGAGGTTGATTGGCATTAAGTAAAAGTTAAACGATGTTGAAGCAGGAAGAGCCGAGCCGACAGGGCGCGATCACGAGCAAGTAAAAAATTATATAACAACTTTAACAGGCACGACGAACAACATATTGTGCAAAAACACAACTATAACTTCATACGTATTGTGTAAAATATTAGCAAAAGACGAAATCCTTTTTATAGATCAAAAACAAAAAACAAAACCAACGTATTTTTCGCTCTCTATCTTTCACCTTCGATTATACGATCTACGACCTATATCTGTATCTGTATCTGTCACTCACTCAGTCAATCGTTCTTCAGTCAATCGTTTCGGCAAGTTTGTTGATTTCGTTTGTTGTGTGTGATAGTGTTTGGAATAAAATGAAACTTTTGCATGTCACAAAAGCAATTTGTTCACCCTAAGTCCCCCAAAAAGTTAACTTTGTGTCTAATGAATATGTATAGGGCATGGTTTCCATGTCGGGCTTGTTTTTTATATCATCTCGAAAAAACTTTGAAAGGAAAACTATTTCTCTGCTTAACTCTCTCTTATTAACTCTCTTTATGTATGTGTGTGTGTGGAAAGTAAATATACAAAATTATTACAATTGAAATTGAATCGTTATATGAGGTATTGTACTTGTATTTTTGTTGACTATTATGTAATTAAACGCTTTACTGAATATCAGTTATGTACATTTTTTAGCTACAAATAAAAAATTAAAACCATATTCAAGCAAAGAAGCTTATGCTGTTACTTATTGTTAGTGAATTTACCACAAAAAAAAAAAACAAAAAACAAAAACAAAACAACAACTGAAACAAAAATCTAAAATATAAAAATCAAGTTGAATTTTTCAAAATTTATAAAAACCAAAAATCATTTTGCAACGTTCATGCGTGAAGAACAAAAATATCAAGGGGATTGCCTTGTGGACGCACTTACGCCTTTGTAAATTGCGATACATTTTGATGAGAAGGCTTAACTTAAACTTTGAGAACTACCAGATAAATATCTATTTAATATAACGTATACATGCATACAAGCAACTTATAAACATATACCGTATATAAAACGTATGCTAAACTATATCTAAATTGTAAACGACAATGAGAAGCAATTTTAAGCAAAATGAAGAAAACCATTTCAATTTCAACTTCAATACCCCCCCACATGCAACACACACGGATGAAGCAAGACATTTATGTGAATTAATATGTATAGTACTATATGTAACTATGATTACAAAACAGCAACAAGGCTATCTATATGCTATGCTAATGAAAGGGTAAACGGCATTTAAACTCATTCAACCGAAAACAAACAGAAACCGCATCACACAAGGAAGAAATGAAAGCTTATAAATACCATATAGAACCGTATATGTACCATACCATATATAGATCCACAACCATGTACCACGTAAATATCGTATCGTAAATAGCAATAGCAGATAGTTATAGTTGATATGGATAGCTAAATTACCGAATAGCAAAGCCTCAGCCGAAGCAAACTTGTTGTACGATTAAGATTGAGCTAGACTTTTAACCAGAGATAATCCAACTTGTAGATATATCGATATATCACGTAACAGTGTATGATTGTGTATATTACCGGATAAAAAAGAACTCTTATGATTTCCAGGTCTCGCTTTTCAGTTAATCCCCTTTAAATCCAACTAAAATATATCAAGGCCTCCCAAAAAAACCTTTAATGCATTCAGACCAGACCACAAAAACAACAACCAACTACAACAAAAACAAACTGTGCCACCTAGTACATAACAAGAAATGGTTATATATCTGTATCTGCTATATAGACACTATAAACACATACAATTCAACACGGACTTGTACTATATCTAGATATATTATATAGAGAGAAGGAAAACATTCAATGCTCACTTTTATATTTTTTATCATACATACCTATATCGAAGAAAGCACCGTAAGAACCACTGATTAACAAAAACAAAACCAACCAAACATAGGAAAATTCTCATGCCCAAAGAACATATATTTATATATAGTGTACAAGTTCTATAAGCCTAGTTATTCGTTCCATTGCTTTTTAGAGCCAATTTGCTTTGCTTGCGAGACAAAATTCCCTGGAAAACCCCGTACCTCTATATTATTTTTGATTTATTACCCCGTTCAAAATGACAATTAGAAAGGATAACACCAGGCATAAACGCAAAAGATCGAGCTAAACTAGTGCTTAGTGTTTAATGATAAACAATTCCAATAAAAGTATTTCAGTTGTGTATATTGTAAAGAACAATTATGAATGAACAAATATAAAGTTAAACATTTAAAAAATAATTCAAAAAATTTATTGAAGCATTAATAATAATTGTATTTATCAAAATTAATACAAAACAAATTTAAGGCATTAGCATAGCAAAGATAACGGTATACATAAATTGAAATGAAAATGAACACAAAAAGCGCTGATTTAATATTATATTATTAATTATATTATTGCAAACAACAAAGTGAAAAACAAATGATATTGTCCTTGGTATTTACATATACATAAAAAAACAGCAAAAAACAAGAAAAATAAAAAGAAAACGTTTTTTTATATAATCGAGATATTTTTCAACGCTGATCTGCATGGGTTTAAAATGAGTGGGTGGGTTTATAAAAATTATCAGAGTAAATTAACAACATTTTATTAATATATTTTTTTAATGGTCCTAAAAGCTACAGTTCCAATTTTAAATCTAGTTTCACAATTATGATTATTTGTTTTTTTTTTATTTTTTATTTTATTTTTTATTTTATATTTATTTTTGTATTTATGTGCTTTATTAACACAATTTTCCCTTTTCAATATATTAAAATTATAAATATTTTACTAAAATAAATTCAAAGGCTTTACTTAACGTTTTAATTACCAAATTGTTTAAAAAGTTATTCTTTTAAATTATGTTAAATATCCCTTGACTTCACCATTTAGGTATTTTCTTTGAATCTTTTTTTTCAAATTTTCGCGCCCAAATCGCCTCACTTGCGATGAATCGATAGGCGCAAGCGAGTTCGAAATTTCAGAGAGAGACGGCACCACAATTCGAACTTTGTGTTTATAAGCGAGAACGGAACTTGGGTCGGCAACAATTTCAAACAAGACGTTAAAGGCGACCGTGCCTAACAGCGACTGTCCAGCAGCCAAAAGAATCCTGCCAGGACTCCAGCCTCCAAAGCCGGTTCATTCACAACAAAAAATCCTAAACAAGTTTAAAAAGTGCGCGTATCCTTGCAAAGTTAAAAAATAAAATAAAAGTAAAGATGCCTTTTGCCCACGAACAAATTAACTTGGTTGCCAGCGAGCAGCTGAGCAAAACCGAGACCATCAAGCTGCGCAACCAGCACATCGGGTAAGCCATCCAATCCTTCCGTAGTCCTTATTCCGTAATCTCTTAGCCGTAATCCCTGGTCCGGGTCGTGAGCCTGCGACCTTGCCTTGAATTTGCCGTGGCTGTCAAGGTCAGGCTGGCGGCATCCCCCATTCGGCCCACTCATCGCTCATTCGCTCTCTTTCGCACGCACTTGCTTCCCAGCGCATGATGTTCTTGTATTTTTGGCACTGTTGCCAACAGCAGCCACACAACAAAATAATATAACAAAAAAGTGTACAAGAGCACAGGGAAACAAAAACATGCAGCGGCGTTTTTGTTTTTAGATTGGGCTTTATTGATTTTTATCGCCAGAGTACCAAATAATAGGAAGCCTAATTTAGAAGGCTTACAAAAATAATTATAGAAGCATTGCAAAGAAAATGAGGATATTCTGAATTGTTGTTCGCTTTAAAATTGTTTAGAAACAAATATAGGAGCTAATAACTAGGTCAAAGGTTTATTCAAACTTTCCACTGCCTTCGGGAATCAAAAAAATATATAAAAAATTGATCGATAAAATTATATACATATTAAATTAAAATTGGGGCTTGTTTCTTTATGACCGCGATGTCATATGAATGTACGTCATTGGGCTATTTGAAATTTGAATTTCGCAATATCACTCATAATATATTAACTATACTAATGATATTGCTTTAAATAATCGGGCATTTGGTTCGGTTTAAATTTAAAGTTGAGGCAATCATCAAAGTAAATTGCTTATAATCTTGAATTTCGAATTTCTTAATTTCAAGATCAAAGTGCATTTATTTGCACCGCTTTAAATTGTTAGCAGCTGTATATTCCCGTTTTCTTTGTTTGCCCAAAGTCAACCGTAAAATGTTTATCAAACACGGCAAGACGCCTTATTTTTGTCTGACAAACACAAATACAATAACCATTTAATTCGGGAGTGGGACGGTGAATAATCTTAGTGATTATAAGTACGCTTATGACGGACACTTGTGAACTGCGAAAATAGGCCCCGGTTAATATTGTAACTTAAGTCCCACTCACGTCACTGTATTTTACTTTGTCGCTTTTTTTTATGGTTCAAATTAGCGGTTTATGAGTTTAGTGTTACCTAGTTAATACTTTTTAATTTTTCCTTAGGCAAGCCTGCCAGCTCTTCTATCGCTCCGATCCCCTGAAAATTGTACGCGGCCAAGGTCAATATATGTTCGATGAGGAAGGCACCCGGTACTTGGATTGTATCAATAACGTGGCACATGGTAAGTTTTTTATTTACTAAAACTAAAAAAACATATTAAAGAAATATATAAATATATATATTAATCCCAGAAAATAAATATGAAAGAAGAAACATATAAAAAAAATATAAAAATATATTGTTTCCTCTGGAAATATTTATGGAATGAGATTATTAAATAGAAAAAATAATTTAGAAGATAGGAAAACTCACGTATTTAATATCACACCATCTTTCACACCCCCTTTTCTGCTATGAAAAAATTCCAAAGAAATGGGTTTCAGCTAAGTAGTTGCTAAGTTCTATTGCTTGATTGCCTAGGCGGCGATTTTGGAACCGGGGCCTGATGACGATTATTTTGGACCCCCGTCTGGTCGTCGACACTTGGCTGATGCCAGATCCTATTTGTTTTTTTCGCTGATTAGAAGCGGCACACGTCCGCCTAATAGCTAATGCCCAGATGCAAAGTGCAGGCCGTACAAAAAAGTGAGAAGTTTAAATGTGCCATGGGGAATATATTTTGGGGTGGAATGGGCGGCCCATTCGCATTTGGCAACAAGTTCAAGGTTGGGCCCCACATTGTACATTGTTCACGTATATAGATATAGATATAGAACGAATGGCGGCAGGCCAGACGTCGGCGGCATGTTCAGGCCCCGATTGAAAGCCCCACTGCGACTGAGTCAGCCTTATCACATCGCCCACCGGCAATTTTAGATGCTGCCTGTGGGAATCGGAATGGGAATGGGAATGGCGATTCCGGCGGGCGGGCCTGGCCAGCCGGCCACTTGGTTCTGATTTCGGATTTCGGGCCCCGACACAGAGCCCCAGAGCAATAACTGGTGATTAAAACAACAGTGTCATCAAGACAATCACAACAACAATAACAATAACAATAACAATAACAACAAATGGCCACGGGCGCATTTGCGTATAAAAAAATACAACAAGTATTACGTACTCATATATCATCACCAAGGGGGGCCAGTCAAATCCAGTCTAACCATATCAACTTATCAGCAGCGGTGGCCCAACACAATAACAACAACAATAAGGAGGATTGACGTCGGCGACCAATTTGCCAATTTGCTGATTCCAGGGTACTCAAATTGTTTGCGTCTTGTTTGTATTTTTCCAAAACGCTTCCTACAACGGAATTTTCCGCTTACAAGCATGAGTCGTCAGGAATTTCCTCAAAAAAAAAAAAACATAGATAATGCATTACAATTGGCAGAGTTTATCAAATTTTTTGAGATTATTAACCTAAATGCTTTGTGCAAGATAGAAGTTGACAGTTCAAAGTGATGATAGTAATTCTCTTAAAACAGGTGATCTACTTTAGTTATTTATAGTATAGTACTATTTGTATGATGCTCCCCTTTTTTATTTAATAACTTTTCCGCTCTGGATTAATGCTGATAAGCTGAGGCCATTGGCATTGCAAATGTACTGAAAAATCATGAAATAGAATTGGAAATCCGGTGGGACTTGATAACGCCTACCATGCTCTACTATTTAATAATAGCACCCCTTCTAGTAATTCCATCCAAGCTGGGGGCTCATTAGCCTGAACCAATTTCAGCCCTATTTATAGGCTCCAATAAGGGTTATCTTTTTTGGGGGCAAAAGGTAAATTTGTTTACAGTTTGGAGATTGTCACCTGATGGATGGTGTTTACACCTTTGAATGTTATCAAGGGAAATATTTTTTAACTAAGGGTTTGGTTTCAGATACATAGCAATCAATAATCAATAAATAATTCATTATTTATCAATAAATAAATCAAGCATTCAGTATAAAAAATATTCGGTTTGAAATCTTCCTTAAATTGGCGATAGTTTAAAGGATTTTTGTGAATAATTATAACAATTTTTAATTCAATATCATTCAGATAAAATTTTAAAATAAATTCATTTTTTGACAGATAACATTAAACAATTATTTTAAAAAATTTTAATTTTTTGATATTCAGCTAGTGCCTACCCCTAAATATTAAAACGAGTTAATGTGTGCCTCTTAATAGTATAGGATGACCCACTTAAGTATTTGCACATTTCGCCGACGATCGCAAAACGCAGTTAGCCTCGTCCGGGTTTTACGATTATTACACTGATAGTTTGCCTTTCCTTCCCAAAAACGTAATACAAAACTCGTGCAGGGGCTTGTAACCCATGGCTATAAGTCATCGACAACAAAGTTGGAAATCAGTCCGCAAGCAAACATAACATGGAACTGGCACTATAACGATGATAAGGCGTCGAGTGCACGTGTTGACGATCTCCGATCGGAATAACAAGTTGTTATGAAACTTGAACCACGTTCCGCGTAATCTCGTGCTACTTTTTCTACTCCGGTCCTCGGAAAAGCAGCAACATGTGAACGTCTCGTGCGAGTGGAAATGTACTCGAGATAGTGGCTAAGCACAATCCGGAAAGTGGGCGGGGTTGCCGCCCCGGGGAAGAGTCCATCACAATGCGTACAGTCTGCCCATCCATCCGACCATCTGTGTTCGTAGTCTAGTTCCAATATTTGTCGTAGTGCCCCTTTCCCTCTCCTCTCCTTCGGGATCTGAGCAATCAGCTGTGCCACTCAGCACACATTGCGAGTGGAAAATTCTGACCAGATAATGGGAAAACCACCCGGGACCATTGGTCTGCGGGCTGTGAAAAGTCGGACAAACAGGCGATATAGAAGCGAGAGCAAGTGGAAGTGGAAGCATGTCATCGCAGCCACTTGTAGATTGGCGACAATGTCGCGAAAAGCAAATAAATTCGCACGTTTTTGGGTACAAAAATCTAGAAGGCGGAAGATAAATAGATATCACTGAAAATTCTACAGAAGAAAGGTTGTTTAGCTGAATAGAAAGACTTGAGATCAATGGGAAAATTATTCAAATTATTTTTAGCAATATAGGAATCCAAAGAAATCCTATGATCAGAAAAAGATTCCCTAAATAAATAAACAAATTAATTTTATTTAAAAAAAATGCATTAAAATCTTTATAAGTAAGATATCTTAAAGAAGTTTCCTTACTTCACTGACTATATTTACTGAACAAAGTTAGTTAGTTTTCCAGCATAACTGTACTCTTGTCGAGTCGAGAAAATTAGAATCCAATGTCTAGACTCTAGAGACTCCCCCATGGTCACTGCTCATTGCAAACCTAATCAGCAGGCGAACGCAACGGAATTAGCACCGCCATATAATGCTATATAATTTCAGGGCACTGATATAGAAACTAAAAACGTGAAGGCATCGCGTGTACTTCACGTGATATTCGACTTGTGGAGGAGCACTACGCCTTATCAGAAGGCGCGACTCCGAGTCCAAATACTAATTGTGAGCGTACTCGACGGAATTAGAAACGCAATCGCAAAACGAGTAGTTGACCCCCAAAACGACGCAATCTGTCGACTGGAGCGGAGTGTTATGGATTCGGGGCCTTATCGCCCATCCGTCGGGGCCTATGGGCAAATTATAAACATACAAGTGGCGACGCCCATCCACATTGGATCCGGGCCTGTCTGGAAGCGTTCTATTTTCAGTATCGTCGTGTCAGATTCGTCCGATTTGTCGGATTCGCTTCATGCGGTGCGATGCGCAAACGTTCGGATATTTTTATGGGCAATCACGTGCGCGGCTCGCTTATTTTTAGGCACGTTTCGGGCGGCGAGTAATTATGTGGGTGGAATTACCCAAAGCTTATCGCATTTTGGCAGATCTATAAATAAGATTTGGTAATCTTCAGTGGGCTCGATATCGGCACTTGGAAATTAACAAAACGTTTATTTGTGGGGCTTACCATCTTGAGATATACAAATTGAACTTCGATCTTGGTATTTCCAGTCATAGATTAAAGAAACGTGGGAGTGTTAAAATAAAATAAAAAAATAATAAAAATAGTAAGTTGTATATTAAGGAGACTGCTTTGTGAGCTTACTCTACTTACTATAAAAATAAGCATGTTGTTGACCTAGTTTTTTTTGCCATGGGGAATAAAATGAATGTGTTATCAATTTGCAGATAATTGGCCTAATTCAATAAAATGATTATGATAAAGTAGATTAAAGTAATGCAGACAATTGAGCAATAAAGATACATTTTTATTTCATAAAAATAAGTGTTTCCCAAAAGAAATATTGCAATGGTATTTAAGTATGACTGATGATTGAATTTAAAGTTTCGATAATAAACTTATTTATGATATGTTTATTTATAGGGTGTCTTATTAACATGTTTTTTTCTTTATTATTTTGCAGTGGGTCACTGTCATCCCGAAGTGGTGCGAGCTGGAGCCTTGCAGATGGCCACCATTTCGACGAATAACCGCTTTCTTCATGATGAACTTGTGCAGTGTGCTCGTACACTGACCAGCAAAATGCCGGAACCATTGTCCGTGTGCTTCTTCGTCAATTCCGGATCAGAGGCCAATGATTTGGCTCTTCGACTGGCCCGTAACTTCACCAAGCGACAGGATGTTATTACTCTTGACCAGTAAGTTTTGTTTCTACAATCTCAAAGTTTAAATGAGCTTAAAAAATGTATTTCATTTAAAGCAAACTTAAACTATTTGTTGTTTGCTTTTACTAATTATATTTCCTTTTTTTTACAGTGCCTACCACGGTCACTTGCAATCGGTGATGGAGATTTCTCCCTACAAGTTCAACCAACCTGGTGGCGAAGCCAAGCCCGACTACGTCCACGTGGCTCCCTGCCCGGATATCTACGGCGGAAAGTTCACGGATAAGATGTATCCAAATGCAGATATGGCTGCTATATATGCCCAACCCATCGAGGAGATCTGCCAGAAGCAATTGGCCAAGGGAGAGGGCGTGGCCGCCTTCATTGCCGAGAGTTTGCAGAGTTGTGGTGGCCAGATTTTGCCACCAGCTGGATATTTCCAGGCCGTCTACGATGCAGTTCGTTCCGCCGGAGGAGTTTGCATTGCGGATGAAGTGCAAGTGGGATTCGGACGAGTGGGTAGCCACTATTGGGCCTTCGAGACCCAGAACGTTGTGCCCGATATTGTGTGTGTGGCCAAGCCGATGGGCAATGGACATCCAGTGGGTGCGGTAGTCACCACTCCTGAAATCGCTCAGGCTTTCCATGCCACCGGAGTGGCCTACTTTAATACTTATGGTGGTAACCCAGTGTCCTGTGCGATTGCCAATGCTGTGATGCGTGTGATCGATCAGGAGGGTCTGCAGCAAAAGGCTCTGGTTTTGGGAGACTATCTCCTTGATGAATGCAATCGATTGAAGCAGGACTTCGAGTGCATTGGCGATGTCCGCGGCGCAGGACTCTTCGTGGGCATTGAACTGGTTGAGGATCGAGAGGAACGCATTCCGGATAAGAAGGCCGCCCACTGGGTGGTCAACAGGATGAAGCAGTTGCACAAAGTGCTGGTCTCCTCCGATGGACCCAATGACAATGTGATCAAGCTAAAGCCTCCCATGTGCTTCAATCGCGAGAATGCCGATGAGTTCCTGTTGGCCTTCAGGGAATGCCTGACCGCCGTGATGCAGGATCGATTGGCCAGTGCCACATCTGCCGCAATGGCAGCCACCAGTGGGGTTATTGCCACCGCCGCCGAAACACTGGCCAACAAAACGAAGCTCTTCGAGCGACAGGATCGCCTTATTAAGTCCGTCTGAGGAAGTGGCTGCTGGTTGGCCAATGCCACCAACTCCATCAATGCCTCTCCGCCCGGGCACAAAATAGCTTTAGCCACCAAGGATATTTAAGTTATTCCACTCTCCCCAAAACTTGATTTTGATTAGATTTAGTGCCATTTACCCGTTAACTCCTATTATGTTCGTCAATTATCTTCTAGTATCTAGAAACGTAGGGAGCCCAAAACGAATTTCTTCCATTGTTACATGTATACGTCAAGTTTTGATTACATTAAGTATAAATATGTTAAAAGTGTTATTGAAAAGTATAAATATACTTTTTTTTTGTATATCATATCTTTGGCGTTTTAATATTATATTTAATTCATAGATGCACGCTCTTCTAAAGTATCTTTATACATTCTATTCCATTACACCCCTGATTTTGAAGTTGCGTACCTGAAAATGTTATAATTCGGATGATGTTTATTTTTGTTCAATAATGTTTAAAGTTTTAGAGCACATAACTTTAACAATTTTGCACCCACTTCATTATACCCTTGATACCCAAGGGTATCATGATATATCAATATATCATCATATATCAATATATCATGATATATCAATATATCATGATATATCAATATATCATGATATTTTTTTTTTTTTTTTTTTTTTTTTTTACGCGCGTAGTCCCACGGCCCACTTTCCCGCCCAACCGACCGAGGGGCGACCGCCGTGTAACGTACGGCACGATTCGCGATAATTTTGACGCGAAAGAAAAGTTAAATTTGACGCGATGTTAATTAAGAAAAAAAAATTAAAAACGAAGAAAAATTTTAAATTTAATTTAAGTTTAAATTTAGCAATCTAATTTTGTGCCAGAAATGTTAAAACTAATTGCTTAAGGAGCTGCAGAGAGTCAGAAGAGGATAAAATAGGAAAAAGTCTATTGTAGTCAGAACAAAGTACTCTGAAAGGCTCATGCACGTTATAATTACGTCTACACTGATTTAAAACTAAAGGAACATAATTTCTAGTTAATCTACTTGGTACCGAGAAATTTAGTCTACTCAGCAAATTAGGACAGTCAATATCACCACGTATAAGGTTATGAATAAATACAGTACCAAGCATCGTTCTACGGTTAGTAAGGGAGGGCAGGTTAATGAGGAGCAATCTATGCGAATATGAGGGTAGGAATAGGTTTGCATTCCAGTTAAGGCGGCGTAGTGCAAAAATTAAAAAGTTTTTTTGTACTGATTCAATGCGATCAGCATGTACTCCGTATTGAGGACTCCAAACGGGTGCCCCATACTCGAGGATTGGCCGGACCAACGATATAAATAAAGCCTTGGTAACGTAAGGATCCTCAAATTCCTTCGACCATCGTTTAATAAATCCAAGCATTCCCCTAGCTTTATTAACCATGCTCGAAATATGCAGAGTGAATTTAAGTTTGGGGTCCAATAGGACGCCAAGATCGTCAACAAGCGCTATTCTTTCCAAGGCACCACCACTTAGCGAATAGGTGACGTTATGCGGATTGACCCGACAGAACGTCATCAGCTTGCATTTGGAGCTGTTTAATTTTAGTAAATTGTCGTGACACCAGTTTTGAAAATTGTTTAGGTCTGCCTGAAGGCTTAAATGACGGGAGCAATCATTATACTGCAGACAGAGTTTTACGTCGTCCGCGTACATAAGTACGCGGGAATGCGTAATGATCGATGGAAGATCATTAATGAACAAAGTGAAAAGTAATGGTCCCAGATGGCTTCCTTGTGGTACACCAGAGGTAACTCTGAGGAGACCGCTTAAGGAATTTTTGAAAAGGACTCTTTGAGTTCGGCCACTGAGATAACTAAAGATCCAACTTAAAAGATCTGCTGGAAACCCCATCATGTCAAGTTTGCGAATCATTAGGAAGTGATTTACAGAGTCAAATGCTTTACTGAAGTCTGTGTAAATGACATTAGTTTGGAAATTATTTTTAAAGCCATCTATCACGAAGGATGTGAGCTCTAGAAGATTTGTTGTGGTAGACCTGCGTTTCATAAATCCGTGTTGGCATGGAGATATGATTGATCTACAAAGGTGCTGCAAGTGGGGGGTTACTGCACGTTCGAAAAGCTTTGGAATTGCTGACAATTTAGAAATACCTCTATAATTGCAAGCATCCGACTTGCTTCCCTTTTTATGAAGGGGAATGACAAATGACTCCTTCCAAATGAGGGGAAACTGACAAGTTTGTAGGGATAGGGTAAACAGCTTGAGAAGGGGTTTACACAATGCATTTGCACAGTGTTTAAGAACGCACCCAGGAATCCCGTCAGGACCTGGGGAGTAAACTGGTGTAACACGTTGAAGATCCAAAAGTAGGGAGCTTTCGTTTAAGGTGGGACGAAATATTAGGTTCGACTTAGGTATTGCGTATAAATATTGCTCACTTGAATGAGACACTGTTGAGTAAGTTGTTTGAAAGAATTGGGCAAACAGATCGGCTATTGCCTGATCAGTGTTAGCCGTCCTACTTTCAAACGAAAGCGAAGGCGGAAAGGAACATGATCTGCGCTTAGTGTTGACAAAATTATAGAACTGTTTGGGATCCCGTAAGAACTGGGACCTGCAACGGACTAAATAATTTTTGTAACACTGAGCGTTAAGCACGGTAAAGTTTGACCGAGCTCTTATGTATTTTCCAAAAACAGACTGACAACCTGAAATTTTATATTTTTTATAAAGTCTGGACTTTACATTCCTAAGGTGTGTTAACTCCTTACTAAACCAATCAATATATCAATATATCAATATATCAATATATCAATATATCAATATATCAATATATCAATATATCAATATATCAATATATCAATATATCAATATATCAATATATCAATATATCAATATATCAATATATCAATATATCAATATATCAATATATCAATAAAAAACGCTATATAGAAATAACGGAAATAAAACTATAACATCGTTGTTTTTCATTAGAAATGCACCATTTTAGGAATATAGAGTTTTCTAACGACTTTTGAATTACAAATTAAATTTTATATAAATCGGACAACTATACACGGTTGCCAGATTTGGCTCTTTTGAGCCAAAACTGGCTCTTTTTTCTCGTTGGCTCTTTGGCCCATTTTTATTGAATTTGTCTCTTTTTTGCTAATAGCGATACAAAATATTTTAAATTTATGCATTTTTTTTTGTGCAATTATAAAAGCGATTAATGTCTGAAATCTAAAAGTGCCAGATCGAAACTAAATTATTCCGCTGGTATGGTAGCTCTGAACATATGTCAGAATTACTTAAATTACCAAGTAATCCTTAGTTTCATTGCAATAAAATGTGTTGTGATGTTTTTGTTTATTTTTTTATATGACTTTTTTATAATAAAAGTTAAAAAAATAATAAATACAAATTTGGCTCTTTTTATTCAAATTGGCTCATTTTTAATCTTTTTTTTGGCTTATTAAAAATGCTCGAAGTGGCAACCGTGCAACTATATCATATAGCTGTCATATGTTCATATGGCAAAAATATGGAAAATGTATAGAAAAATCGTCATAGCTTTGATGTTTTCTAGCCTTTTTGCATTTGGATCAACTGATGACTGCGTATAAGCTTTTCTTGTTTTAAATGAATTACCTTGTTTTTTTTTTTTTTTAATTTTTATTGTAAATGTTCGATGTACTTAAACATAATTCAATCACTCTCGAGCAAACTATAACTTATCAGTGCAAATGATTGCCGAGTAAGTTCAGCAAAGGCGACTGAACATCCGGTTGCATTCTTACATCGATCGGCGGGTTTGAGAACTCCGAACATGGCGAACAACCGCAGTTGGAAGGCACTTCGTGCTAAAAGGAAAAATCTCATTAAATTGAGTGGATAATTAAAATGTAGAAACTACAAACCTTCTGAGTGAATGTGTGACCATCCTTGCAAATCATTTTTACAGAGATCGGTGTATAGGATTTGATGCTGCAGCAAGTGCAGAACTTTTCGTGCATGTCGGTGAGTGTATTATACTTCGATCCCGAGGAACAGGCACCTTCGCAGTCAGTGAATCCCTGAATGGGCTCGGCATTCACACAGATTCCATGTCCTTGCGCGGGGAACTTCAGAATCTCCTTTGTTTGCGACTCGGCCAAGGAAACAGGCAAACAAGTGGCTAAAAAGAGGAAATAATTATATTAGATTATGCTTAGTTAGTATATAGAGTTCTACTTACATTTATCTTCAACCAAAGGTTCTGCTTTACAACGTTTACAACAGCCATCTTGATACAAAAGATGAGAAAGGCAGCTTCCCACATCCGGACAAACCTCCTTTGCTGTGGTAACCAAAAACTGACCATCCTTCTTCAAACAGCTGTAGGTAGTACAATTGTCCTCCGTTTTCCAAATTGCATTCGCTTCATAGAGTTTCTGCTCAAATACACAAGCTGTCTGAACACACTTGCCACAGCACTTGGTTTTGTCCAAGTTCTGATAGCTGAATCCTGGGGCACAATCCGTGATACACTGCTCCAAAGTGCTGACCACTTGGGCATTTCCATCGGGTCCGTAGGAACACGTCTCCTGTTTGCAAACCTCCTTGGCGTGGGTCCATTTATCACCCACTTGTTTGGTGAATTTAGTGGTCTCATCGAGTTCATATTGAACAATGCAAAGGTCCTTGGGAGGTACTGAAAAAATTAGGAATATTTATTTAAATGGGTTAACTTTCTGAGATTAAATTACGTTATTCTTACCACACTTGTGTATGGGACAACACAATCCTGGCTCCTTCGTAGTCTTGACTTCATAGAATCGCTCTTTACAATTAAGTGGAGCCTGGGGACACAACTCTGGCTTGCAGTCAATTTTCTGAGTAGGGCAACAGCCTTCTTCAATCTTAACAATAACCTCGCCTGGCAGCAATTCCCGCAGTTTGATAATCTCACACTGATCCTTGGGCTTGCATTCTTAAATAAATATAAAAAATTAGTAAAGAAATTATAAGGTTTAAATATGACTTACCGCATATGTACTGTGGACATCCGTTTATATCATTCTTCTGCTTCTTATATTGTCCTGGTCCACAAATCGGCATCAATGGAGCCAAACATAACTTAGCAGGATCCTTGGTTTCGGGAACACATCGATATCTGGGACAGCACTCCTCCACCTTAACAATTACCTCGGGTTTGTAGCCCTCGGCACAGATGTTCTCCTCCACTTGACATTTCTTTTCCACACAGGAGGTCTTTCCATTTTGATTGCACTCACATTCAGTGCATTTATCCTTCTGCCACTTCTCGCCAGGCAAATGGAGGCCATCATCGCACTTTGTGCAGGCAATTTCGGGGACACACTTGCCACCATCCATTACCTTTCCAGGGGGACAGAAACAACCTTCAAATCGCTCCGAGCTCAAACACATTTCATCGGTTTTCAAAGTGTGAACTACAGCCTGGTTTTTAAGGCTTACTGCATCGAATTCGGATAAGGCTTTCACGGTATCGCAATTCTTGGCACAACCACATGGCTCATAAACCATATCACTTGGGCATTCATAGGGACAAAGTTGTGGTCTCCTCCAGTTTGTGCAGATTCCATGTTGATTGCACTCCTTTGCGTAGGCAGCCAAAGCCACACAAACTCCTTGCTGAGTGTTTCCAGGCTTGCAGATGTCCTGCTGACAGGCGGAGACATACGAAATGGGATCCACGGCCAAAGGACACTTGCCAAACAGCTCGGCATTGTAGAATTGCAGACAGGGATCCTTATCCGGTGGAAGGGGAATGCACTGCTCCTTGGGAACATCCTCACTTAGACATTCCTCTACCAAACCCAATTTTGGTTCATCTGCTTGCCAGCTTTCAATCACATCTACTCCATCTTTTTTCTTGGCCGGATTGGGTTGAAGATCATTGTCTGCATTGCCATTGCAATCGCCACAAAGTCCTTCCATCTTGCTGCCATATTTAATACTTGGAACGCCCAGGGAGAAAATTAAATCCTCAAAGGAGGCTGTGAGTTCCACATGGGATTCAGGAAGAGAGAGCACCAGTTCCTTGCCCACAATCTGGCGAAGGCTAATCCAACTGTCTTTGTAGGGAATCTGTTTCACCTCGAATCCATCAACCAAAACTTGAAGGGCTTTCGGTTTCTCTGGAACGCGTTGGACATGAATCACATGATCTCCATTCAGAATATGCAAGGACTTCGCACAACTGCCTCCCTGAACAGGAGTAGGTTGTCCCAGCTTCTTACAATCATCCATACTAACATAAACCTGGAAAGTGTGGACACCAGGAAGCACCACATCCCGCGACAAAAGATATGTGCAGTTTCCATTGAAACTGAAGCTCTTGCGATCGTAGGTCATGTACTTGGATGCTCCCAATGAATTGCAAACACAGTCCTTGCACTCGGAAATGGGCACACAATTCGGTCCTTTCCGTACAGTTCCCTCGGGACAATAGCAACCCGGGAAGCAGGCATCCGGAAGAACTGGACAATCGTCACCATGAACCGCATCGCAGGATGGTTCACATCGCCTCTTGTAACAATCCGTGTGAACTAATGGCGCAGGGCAATTGATCTCGCACTGAGCCACGGCTCTCCAGGTGGTCAACTGAATAAGTGGGTTCATGCTGAGGCACTTCTTCACAAAGCTCTCCAGGATGTTGCACTTGCAGGCAGCCGAGTCTCCATTGTTGGCCATCATGCAGTTGCAGGCAGCTTCCACACAGTAATTGTTAAGGAACTGTTTGTAGTTGACGGCCTTGTGGCAGCGAGCAAAGGTTGGATGGCTGTGGAAAAAAAGAAACAGATCAAATGGGGTAAAATTGATTCAGAAATATCTTTCAAGAAATCACGTTAATAACCTATCATCCTTTAAAAAATGTTCATTAAATCTGAGCCATTTTACTTCAAATTGAAAAACTTTTCGGGTTTAAAATCAATGTTAAATTTTTAAATTGCATTGCATATATAATTTTTAAAAAACCCCTTGGATTTTGCAGAATTTTAGGTACAATTTACAATTCTAAATTTTCTTTAGTACTTACTGAATGATATTACAAAGCTGCAAAGCCTTTGCCTGCATTTCTCTCGAGCACTTGAGATCTCCGCACTGCTCCTTGGGAATTTTCTTGTCATACCAACTATCTCCGAATTTCTCTGTGTTCGGAATGATTTGACCATCGGGTGATCTCTTATCGTCCTTTGGATTTCCATTGTAGTAACCACACAGACCATCGACAGTTCGCATAAACTTGGATGAAATGCCAACCTTCACGATTCCAATGTCATCGAGCTGCACCCAGAAACCATATTTGGTGGAAACGGCTAGAAGGGTCTTGCCTGGTTGAGAGACCACAAATGAAGCCTTGCAAATGGGTGAATTAATCAACTGTTGAACTGTAAACTCATAGCCATTGAACTTGAGCTTCAGATGGGGCAATAAAATCAATTCGTTGCCAGCTTCGGTGTCCTGAATTGTGATTACTTTGTGACAGACTTTGCGGGATTCATCGTTACATTGTTGGTGAACTGAAAAAGAATTAAATTTAAAAATTAAAATTTAATTAAATTAAGATGTAAAGAATACAAATTTTTACCTGAAATAGACCAACTGCTATTGTAAATATCCCTAGCCAAAATGTGACTACAAGGTCCATATTTAAAAATGGTGCCATCAAAGGTGGTGAAGCTCTTGCCACTAATTTCACACACATCATCTTTATTGGGACGCAGGACACAGGTGTACTTAAGGCAATCTCCCACTTTGGCCGTACTCATATCCAACTCCACGTCGTATTTTTCAGGACACTTTGGTTCCGTGCAGGTGATGGTCTCATTTTTATCGACACTCTTGGTGGGAATGGGAACACAAGTGAATTCATCGCACTGCTCCTCCTGATGGAAATCCAATTCCTGATTTGGCATGGCCAGAATTTGCTCCTTGGAGGAGATGAACTTGGTCTTTGTTATAGTCAATCCATCATCCACTATGGATACTTGTTTTGAGAAAGTAAACATCTTGGACATTTTCCTAAACTTTTTCTCCGTGATTTTAATCTTCATTTGAGGTGGACAAACTGGCTTGGGACATGTGATGACTTCAGCTAATAAAAAAAAATGAATTTGTAATATTGTTAATTAATACATCAATCTCAAACTCACTCAGATTCTTTGCCCTCGTAATTTCTGGCTCCACAGTGAACGAATCACTGCAACTGGCATCCTCATCATCGGCACAATCCTGAACTCCATTGCACCAAAGAATCTCCGGAATGCAGTCTCCACTTGATGGACACAATCTCTGGTGTTTGGGGCAGGGTTCACACTTGCAGAAACAATCACTAGTGATGACAGGACGCAATTTGGCATCCTGGCAAGGGGGACACTTCTTCGGCTTGCAATTCTTATGACCGCCAAGTACGCAAACGCAATCCTCGCAGGCTGAGTTCTCGAACTTACTGCCTATCGGATAGGTAATGTAGTTCTCTACACAAGGACAAAGGTTGTGCTGAACGCAGTTGTTGCCATCCCAGAAAAGTTGATCCTTGCATTGGCAATCGGAGGAGGAACTAGTGGGAGTCACACCATCGCAGATGTTGCATTTTGTGGGCTTGGTTTCTTCCACAGGAACTTGTCGCTGGATTTCAGCTAAAATTTAATAATAATTTTGTAGAAATTAGTGTAAGTTTTAACATATCATAAGTTCAAAGTGCGATATATACGCAGATCCAGTTCTGATGAAAAACTTACGATATGGTAAAAAGCATCCCAGTGGTTCAATCCGCATATTTATGTTTCTTTCCCAATAAGCTGGCACAACTTTGAGATACTGGGTCAATATGGGTTTCTTGAAATGATGTCTCCGCTCGTTTTCTGCATCGACATTTGCCTCAAAGATGCGTGGTTGTCCATTAGGAGATAACACAGTATTCCAAGTGGGTTTCTTCTTGGAGAACATCACCTTGTAGCCAGTGACCCATCCATCGGGACCTCCCTTCGTAACAAATCCAGAAATATTCCGTGGCTCCAGGAAATCAAACTCAATGAACTCGTTTTGACTGTTGGCAAGTGGACGCCAAGCATGTGGTGTTGATAATTTTAGCAGCTCCAGAAGCTGTGGTTTCTTGCCCTGATTTGGTTGGTGCCACAAGCTGCTCGATTGAACTTGATCCTGATACATCTTACCCTCATCCACGCCCATTAAATCGATGCATTCTTGCTCAACCAATTGAGGTGGATGTTCTGTGATGGGTGGTATTGTTGGAATCGGGAGCACTGGTGGGGATTCCACTTTATCTCCGCAGATGAGAAGCTCCACTCGCATGGCAATGGAGTTGTGCCACTTAAGAGGATAAATGCGAAGGGAACTAGCTTCAATGGGAATCTTGAAGAGTGTTTTTACTGGAGCTCTGGAATCCAAGGGACCATTGAACATTTGTGGCTTTTCTGTTTCGTCAACCAGATAATGGTAGGCTACTCCATCATGACTGTGAAGGATCTGCAAATATAATTTAAAAGGAAATAAAATAAAGTATATATTAAGCTTAAATAATAACTCACCTTAAACAGGGTTACATAGTTATCAAACTCAGGGCTACCAGCCATAATCACACCATAGAATGGCTCTGGTTTGCCGAAATTCAGTTCCAAATACTGCATTTGATCGTTAATACTGGGTGACCAACTGCCCTTTGGATGATCTTTGGTTAAACGAGCCATTTTAGGACCATGTTCTGGGGCCAATTGAGAACTGGCGTTAAAGACGCTGTCGGGTTGTAAAAATACAGGGCTTTCTATCTTGGGAATGAGTCTGAAAAAAATATAACTCTTTAAAATGTAATTAAATATTAATAATCAACTGATTTACCGCTCTGGAGAACAATGTAGTGGTGGTGTGACTGTAACTGGGAGTATAGGAACCAAAGGAACGATATCTATTTCTTCATCTAAAATTAAAGAATATATTTTAAAATATTACAATCTTAAATTATTATAATCCCTGTGAAGTACTCACCTCCTCCTTTGGGAACTGGCTCTGGTTTATTGGGCACACAAGTAAAAGTATTGTCAATGCACTGACACACCTCAAACTCCCCAACAACTGGCTTATGAGGCTGAACATAGTGCTCAGCATTATCCATGCAGGGACAATCGTCGGCATGGACACAGGTATCCTCATCCAACCAAAACATTCCTTTACTATTGCAATCCGGTCGCAGGTTGTCCACACAACCCGGCTTACAATGCTCGCCAATTTGGCAGAGACCTCGCTTTCTCAATATGCTGCCATAATAATGACAGGTGTGTTCACATTGATTGGCGCACTCAGATTTCCTCTTTCCGGGAGGACATTCTCTAATGGGTTCCGGTTCGGGTTCAGGTTTGGGTTTCACGCCACAATTGGGCTTGATCTCTTGTACAGTGGCAATGTGATCGCAAATGAACATCGTTGGATTGAACATCATGAACTCCCCGCAGGTTTGCTCTACATAAATCCAACCTCCCTCGACTCCTTTGGGTTGGCAATGCAGGAATTTGTGGCAATCTCCGGGGAATTCCTTGTACTCCGCAATTCCAGTATCGCAGGAAAGTCCAAGTTGTGGTTTCTCAGTGGGTTTGGGTGCTTCCGGTTCGGGTTCTTCATCGCACTGGCAAAAGGCACGCAATTCGTAATCGTGGCACTTGCCAATGCATCTTAGTCCCTCCTCCAGATTGCAAATCACATTCTCGTCCATTTGATCGGGGTTTTCATGGGTGTCCTTCACCCGACACTCCACCTTGGTCATGTACTCCTTTAGGCAAGTTCCATAGACATTCTCCATGCGATCGTAACGGGGAACCTTCTCCTCATCGTTCAGTCGAACATCCTTGTGCGAAGTGTCCTTATCCTTGTCGCACCATCGCGTCCATCCCTTGACGCACTTGGTCTGGTTTTGGGTGGCCAGAGGAGGCATGGTGGTGCCTTCAATTAAAGGAGCCAAACGGGGTGTGGTCACGGGCACCTCGCACTTGACTCCGCTGCAAATCTCCTTTCGCTTGGAGCATCGACATGTGGCACACGAATCCGTATACGTGATGTCACCCTCGTAGAAAGTCTTGCCCTCCTTCACCATGCAAACCGGTTTGCATTCCGCCTTGGGAACACATTCGCGGTAGGTGTCGTTCAGATAGATAAATCCATCCTGGCAAGGTTTAATGTGGCATCCTTCGAGGCAATTCTCCCGGTTGCACATGCGCTCTGCGATTCCCTGATCGAGGAAGTTGTCACAGGTCTCCACCGCACACGCTGGAGTGCAGGCCTTGTAGTCCGAACAGGTTGGGTCACATTGCATGGCTACATATATAAAAGATATGGGATGAAGTTAAAATCATATTGCAAGGCTGAAATTTAAAAGATAGAGAAATAAGATACTTGCAATAAGATACTCGCGTGGTTCAAAAATATGGGATAAGTTTAAAAAAAAAAAAAAAAATAAAGTGAAATTTAACTTTAAATATCGTTAAACAAGATTGCATTGCATTCTAACTAGATAAAATAAGCTTACGCGTAGAGTGTTCAATGATCTATATTAGCATCAGAAATTCAAGCTCATTATATTTTTTTTACTCACGGCAAAAGTGTTGCGATCTCCAGCGAATGTGGATGCCCTTCTGAGCACAGGCATCGGCATAAGCAGCCATTGCAGTGCAAAGACACTCGCAATCGCCTCCCTGATCGCAGGCACAAGTATCGAAGATGCAGCGCTTCCAGAATTTTTCCAGGGGAACCTCAGCATGGCACTCCTTGAAGAGATCCGACTTCAGGGCTCCACACTTCAATTGAGCCCAGGTTTCACGTTCTGGATGTTGTTTGCAGGAATCAATGGGAGCCACTGGAGCCGAGCAATGAGGCTGAAGTTTCCAGGCATGACCAAATAGCATTGGACTGGCCTCCAAACCCAAGGAAGGTGTCTGCATGTCATCCAGACTGTTGCCATTGTAGTTGCCACACAAGCCACTGACTTTCTGGCGCCATTCGTTGCCCAGTTTTACGTAAACTCGAGTGCCTTCATCCCATTTGACTTGCAATTTCAGGGGAATCACTTCCACAACCACAAAGACACCAGCTTTGTAAATGTGGAAGGCATTGTGACCTTTCGAGTTGACACTGTCACGAAGTTCTGAAAGGAAAGTTTATAATATAAGTTTAATATATATATTTTTAAATGTATTTATAACTTACTTTTAATGGGCGACTTATTTGGATCAATGCTGTAAGCGGAATCCGCACTCAAAAGCAGCGATTCTTGAGCATGACCACTTAAACTTATTTCCAAAGACTTCGAGCAAGTGACGCCCATTGTGCCGCATAAAACATTCTGAATGGTAATACTAAAGCCATCGCCATTGTCGAAAACTCCCTTTGCAAGGACATAATCACAGGCTCCTTGGAAATCAAAGTCATGACCATCAAAGGTGGTGAAATGGGAATCTCCCCAAACGCTGCACGTGGATTCGCAACCATTTTTCGAGCACTTCCAATTGCCAGCTTGGCACTCGCAAAGATTGCAGTCCTCCTTGATCTTCTCACCGTCATCGTAACTCTTTCCGGCGTGATGACAGGAGCAGTTAGTTGGCAGGACGCAGGACGAACGGGAAGTATCGTAGACATAACCCTCCATGCAAACGCATCCTGGCAAACATTCCGAAGAATCGGCCACGTATTTATCCATATTCTTGCAGGTTTTCGGTTCTTTGGGAGCACATTTTGTGAACTCGGCGAAGGGCTGTTTGGCACACTTGGATCGCAGTTCCGACGAAGGAGGGTACTTGTCCTTGTCACCTGGTTCCGCATCCTGGCAATCCCACACTCCGTTCGTACAGGTGCAAAGATCCAGGAACTTCTCACCCGGGCGAACCTCTTTGTATCCTGGACGGAAGGACATGCCGTCGAAGTTGCAGTGGCACTTCTGCTTCGGCACACACTCGCCCTCCTCGTTGACGTACTCTCCATGGGGACAACGACATCCTTCCACGCACTCGCGTTTGCAGGATCCCTTACTCGGGAGATCATCGCAGGTGAGGGCACATCCATCGCCGCACTCGTCGTAAACTTGACCCATGGGACACTTCACAGCTGGGAAATGAATTTAGATAAAAAATTTTTAATAGTAGGTAATAAAATATTAAGTGATTTAATTCAGTGCTCAAATATATTATAACATATAATATTTTAAATAAATATAATGCCGATTTAAGGGTATGCATCCCATTATAATTAAATTGTTTTGGTTATTTATCCAAGCTTTTTGTTTTATTATTATTAAATATAAATACTCACCACACTCCTTGACCGTCATACGCCATCCTGTCTTAACTCCTTGTCGCATGCACTCAGTTCCGTAGGCAGACAAAATGGGGCAGAAGCACTTTGTAAGATCATCCTTGCAGGCACATGTGTCGTACAGGCAATCCTCATAAAACTGCTCTGGTTCGACCAGGAAGTGACAGTCCTGGAAGATATCCTGCAGAATCCAGTCGCAATGCTTCTCCGCAAGAGCTTTCTTCTCCGGACTTAAAGTGCAGGGATGCGGTCCTTGATGAGTCTCCGCCTTGAATTCGCAAGTATCTTTGGTGCGCCACTTGTCCGCAAAAGGTTCCACTGCCGTTTCAATATCTCCTTCGGGAGTCAGGAAATCATCCTGGGTGTTCGAATTAAAGGTGCCACACAGACCCTGCGTTTGGCCACGCAAACTAGGCGGAGCATCGATGTAAACCCGCGAAACTCCATCCCACCAAATGCGAATGCCACCTGCAAACTCCACGGTCAAGAAAGTGGAACTCGCTCGACGGATGAGCACTTCGCCCAAACCCAACATCTTTGGCAGCTTGGCAATGGGTTTGTCGTTGACCACGGTGGTTAAACCCTGATCCAGTTTAATAACCGATGGAGTACCATCCCGTAAAATAAATCTAATCGTAACCGATTTGGTGCACGATGGATCGTCGGGAGCTGCAAAGTTCATACCCTCCGAAACTGCTCCCGAACAAGCCACATTCTCCGCCTCCACCGACATGTTCGTGGTCTTCAGCAGATGGTAGGAGCACTTGCCCATGAAATCGTACCGCTTGCCATCGAACGTCTGGTAATGCGGATCTCCAATTGCCCCACAGCGGGCGCCACATTTATCCTCCGTGCAACGCCACTGTCCATTCTTGCAGGTGCACGTGTTGCAGTTCTTCTTGACCGTCGATTCTGGTTTGAATTCCTTGCCGCGAAGGGAGCACGGGCAGAGTTCTCGGGTGATGCAGGCCTCTTTGTATTGAACGGTTCCCTCAGGACAAAAGCAGCCCTCGTTGCAAGTGCCCCTCGAAGTTGCAACGGCCAAATCCGATTCGCAGGTGGGCTCCACGTTGGGTCCGCAGGCCTGGTAAACGCGTCCAAAACCACAGCTAATTGCTAATAGGAGAAAAGTAAATTAATTTTATATATTATTAATTATATTATATATAATATAATTAAATGGCCGTATATGTATTCTTATTTAATATACCACTTATATGTTTTTATACTTACGACAAATCTCCAGATTCCGCCATCCGTGCTCCAGCTTGATGCCCTTGAAGGCGCACTCCTTGGCCAACATGGCGATGGCATCGCAGTTGCAGCTCTCTGGATGTTCTCGATTGGCACAATTGCAATAGTCAGCCATGCAGGTGCGAATTAGGGCATCGTAGTTGAAGGGTTTGATGCAATCACCCAGTTTCTCGTTGGCCAACAGTCGCTCGCAAACGGAGACAGCCTTTTGGAGTTTGCTTTGCTCACATGAATCCACTCCGAATTCCAACTCAGCACTGTTCTCCACCTGGCACAGTTCACTGTGATCCTCGACACGCCAGGCATCCGCGAATGCTTTTACAGTCTCCAACTTTTTGCCCGTCCTCGAAGTCAAATCCGTGTTGATATCCCCATCCAAGGAGCCGCAAAGACCTCCCACTTTTCCCCACATTTGAGGACCAGCCTGCACGGAAACGTACTGATGGTGATCCCAGTCCAACTTAAGGCCAACGGATTCCAGATCGATCTGCACATGTTGAGCCACTGGCATTACTTTCATGCCCATCACCTGAACAGGCATGGGTAGCTTTTTAATGGGAGTGCTGAGTTGCATGGTGCCATCTATTTGGATTGTGTATATATTACTTCTCTAAGATACCTGCAGATTATTATATAGGTTCTTACTTAGATTTTCGAAGGTGTACAGCACGGATTGCCACAAGATCTTTAATGTGTGGGCACAACCATAACCAGAACCATATGGACAAGCCTTCAGGATAATGTCGAAAGTACCTGAAACTTTGTCTGTAATCAGTGTATGAGAACACGAAAGAGGTGCCCTGTGGAGAACAAGATATTAAAAATCGGAAATTTATTTATTCAACCCATTATTTCTTACTTGAAGACCAGACCATCAAAGGTCTTCATGTTAATACCACCCCAAGTGGTGCAAATTGCAGGTCGCGGTGTTTTATCAATGACGATATCCAAATCGTTGCTTTGGTACAAGGAATAACTGCTAAGGGTGACGACAGTTTCCTCCGAAGACCACCATTCCTAATTAATTTTATTATTAGCAGTCGAAGAATTATTTAAATTTAAAGTAAACTTACACTTCTTCTTTCGAGATCTCTGTATTTGGCCAGCAAAGCCAAAAGTTTTTGGCGTTCGGTTTGGATTTCGTAAGCCATTTCACCACTCATTCCGTGTTGATAAACTCCACCAATTTGTTTTGTTATATCGCGTGAGGAGGATGTGGATCGGATTTTGTAGCCAGGAGCTGAAGTAAAGATTTAAGAATATATCTTTGAAGCTTTTCAACTCTTTAAAGGAAATCAACTTTAAAGTAAAGCAAACTTTTCTTTATGTTTTTCATATTATACTTACGGAATATGCACTTTGGAAGTGGAGCAGGAAGGTATTGTCCTTGTTGATAGTTGCACTTGTACTCTATATCAATGCGGCCTTGAATCTGCAATCCTGGCACTTGAGGGCAGCTGAATGTACAACGAGCCTCCTCCATTTCATAGGCACACTTATAGTTTCCATTGAAATTGGTGTTGGTAACATTGCAACTATCCACATCTATAAAATGAAATCATTAGATTTAGCTCTACAAAAATCTATATAAAATTTAACGCTTTGTAAAGTTTCAAATAATAATAATTGCTAGGAACAGTTAATAGTAATTGTTCTGATTATTTTTCCTGAAATATATAAATACACTTACTATATTGACAGTGAGCACCGCGGAACATCTTGGAGCACTGGCAGACATTGAAGCTGATGCATTGTCCTCCATTCTGGCAGGCGGGTGCACAAGTAGCTGAAAGTACGTGCTAAAATCAGAAAAGTTTCCATCATAATAGTAGAGTTACCCACGAGCACAATCGGGAGTTTTGGCAAGACCCGTCTTGGTGTGAATCCACTGGCCATTTCGACACTCAATGTTGGTGATGCCACTGCCATCTGGAAACTGGAATCCCCTCATGCACTCCGCGTGGCAAATACTGCAATAAAATATCGTTTAAACCAATATATTATATACCATATCATCCTATTCAAACTCACTTGTTCATGCAGGACATTTTGGAGTTCTTTGGCGCCTTTGGAATGGAAGCACATACCGACTTTTTCTGCTGACACAATGGTCCATAATAATTCTCCGGACACTGGCAAACTCCGGCGGAAATGCAGATGCCGTTGTTCTGGCAACCCGGATTGCATTGTGCCTGGCAGGGAGGCACCTGGGTGAACACAGAGTTGCCAATGATCCAGCCATCGTTGCTGCAGAACATCTCCAGGATCTGCACATTCTGGGCGAAACTGTAACCAGCTGGGCAGAAAACCTTGCACTTTCCATTGTTGCACTCGGATTGAACATTTACTGGGAGTTGCAGAGCAGAGCACTTTCCAAAGGCCGCCAGATACTGGCCACCTGCTCCGTAGAAATTTGCCTGGCTGTTGTATGAAATTTCATTTAGTAAATCGAAAATAGCATACTTTAAGGGTTATATCACAGTTGTGCATCAATTTTGGAGTATTGCATTTTGTTTAAGTAGAACAATTAACATTTTCTGAACTAAATCTACATATAACCCATTAAAAAATTCTTCTTACCCCTTTCCAAGGCCAAAGATGTTTAAGGTTTTGGTTAGCAGTCCTCCTCTGCAAGGAAAAGTTTTATTAAAGGATGTTCATTCATGTTGCTATTAATTTGAACTTACTTAAGGCCACCTCCTCCTGCTTGAGATGTCCTTATAACAGTGCCGTAACCTCCACCACCGCTACCATATCCTCCACCACCGCCATATCCTCCTCCACCGCTACTATATCCTCCACTATAGCCTCCACTATATCCTCCACTGCTTCCTCCCGAAGCGCCATAAGTGTAGGCAGCACTATAAGTAACATGATTAATCCAGTTATATAATTGCCGCTGAACTTGGCAGTTTATCGCGCTTTGTTCCGATTTATCATTACCTAACTGGGGGGGCTTTCAGGACCCTGAAGCTAACGTGGCGCTCGTTGCGGGAACTCTCGTTATCGACGGCTTCCGGTGCGGCTTGATCCAGCGGACTACATTTTGCAAAATAAAATTTGTAGAAGATTGAGATACACAGCTTTTTGCGCAGAAAAACATTTTATTATTATTTGTATTGGTGTGCGATAGGAAGTTATATCTAAGTTTCTCCAAATATGGAACGATTGGGCAGGAATTTTCAAGATATTTTATACAGAGTTAAAATAATTCACAAAAAAGAAATGATTGTATTCCAGAGTGGTGAAATATTTTAACGAAATTTAAAGTCCGCTAACCCGTAATATTGATAAAGTAATATTTTAGCTATTTTTTTTAAGAATATTAGATTTTCGGAGTATGCAACTTAAATTTTCTGTATAAGGATATAGATATTTCAAATTAAAGACATTTTTGGTGCGTAAGCTTTGTTTGAGATATATTTATTTTAGAAAACACCCTTGGACGGTTTAAGGTTAATTAACATTTTTAAGACTTAAACAAAATTAATGTGTCGTTTAGTCCTAAAGAAATCAAGCCAGTTATATATAGATATTTCGAAAAAGTCCTTGATATACACTTTAAAATTTTAATTAACATATTAGAAGAAGGGCTTTAAAATACGCTTTAATCCAGAAATTCACAGTAAGCTCTTTTCACATGTGCACAGTCTCTAAAACACACAAAATTTAACTCTTGGGGATCCGGAATAAAAATAATGCTTTTTTTTATTAATTTTTCAAATCAAGGTTTGTTTTCGATTGTTATTTTACAAATACAAATGTCCACCTTTGTACGTTAGTTAAACAGATCAGCCATTTTTAAACTAGTTATTTAGTTTCACATTTTTCTGTCCGCTCACTCACTTTATATCTTCATCATCCTCATCTTTCATGATAATGTCTCCATCCTCGGCCCACACAAAGGATATTAAGAGCAGCCACAAGGACAATGAAATCACTTTATTTGACATTCTGTTTGTCAGAAGCAAACTATGTTTGCTTAACTTAGGAAAAACAGGAGTATCCTGTTGCTATTTAACACTGGTAATCCATTTCTGCAAGGACACTGATAATCCGATTATCCTTGCTATATCCTTCGGACACTGTTAATCCTTGCTTTATCCTGGGTTTATATTATTAACACTCCTTTGTAGAGCACTTTTCACTTTTTATTTATCCACTGAACTTGACGGTTTGAATTCGCGATCACGACTAATGATGCTAGTGGATCCGGAGCGCCTTTTATAGCCCCGATTGCGATTGTGGTTCCCACATTCTCGGGATTTTATCAACCGAATGTGAATTTTTTAAGGGTCAAGCCCACCACTTATCCAGAATCCTCGAAAAAAGAGCCACCGTTCTCAACTTATCGCCGCTGCTGTTCTTAAATTAGCATAGCGAATGTTCCGAAACTGTGCCAAGTTTAGGCCGATGGCAATGCCTGTCTGATAGTGCCATTTCCGGGAGCTGTGTCATAATAATATATTAGAGCGGACCGCTCGCCTTTGGGGGTAAAACATTGTTGGGGCTACCCGGCCTCACTTCATTGATAAGTCGCTATTTAGTTTATCTGGTCATTGGGTTGCTCATGAATGAACTACGTACTACACATAAGTTTACTAGCATTGAACTTGAAAGATTAAATAGGAGAGATTTCATTATGGTCAAGGAAACTCATTTGCTTTAAACTTTTAACGGATGCGCGCTGAGTACGTTAAGTGTTATCGAAGTAAGCAGTTTAGAGATTTCAAACAAGCAGTCAAAAAGAAAGCAGTTTTATGTGGTGCTCACTGGGGTGTATAGTTGTGACACTAGGTGGCGCCAATGTTTTATCTGTCCCAAGCATTTTTCAGATTTTTTTTAAATTATAATAAATTTATACCATTATTTGTTTTTTTTTTTGTTTTTTTGGTTATATATTTAATAGGTACAAAAAGATAATTCAATCTAGGTAATGGTAAATATTTATACGCAATACTTTTTGATTCTTGGCGAGCCTTAATCGCGAATGTAAAAATGAGCACTTATGTATTTTTGTTGAATCACTTTTAAAAATGTAATATATCACTTGTGCAAATGAATACATGATAAATATAATAGAATATAAATTAACACTAAACCCTTTCAAAATTGGAAACAATTCCTACACATTATTTCCAATTTTTGGGGTCAAAGTAAACCTAAACCAAAAAATTTCTCATTTGTGTTGGACGGTCGACATTGATTGGCTTTCCTGTCACAATATGATGCTGTTTGTATAAGTCTCTCGGCTTGATATATATGTCCTTAAAATCCTCACTGCTGACATGCCGGCTAGCTGCTCCCATATATATTCCATCCAATATGTGGTTTGAATTTTCCCTAAGTTCAACCTCGGGTTCGTATATGTTTTCAATCAGAGTTTGTCGCTTCTTCACCTTTTGAACTCTCACTTCTGGAGTTGGTTTCTTTAGCCTAGCCCGTTGTGAAGCCAATCCGGTACAGCTCATGATAATTGCCAGTAGAACACAGAACTCAACAATGGCCAAAATCAGACTGCCGCCAAGAAAGATGCCATATTGCTCCCGGTACCAATTGTCCAAATGTGGAAGACAGGACTCCGTGTTGCGTTCCCTTTCATAGGACATTCGATCGATTGACTGGCACAAGGATTCATTAGCTGGTTTTGGATCAAGATAAGCCAAGGTATCTTTCGAATTATCTAGTATGCAGCAACTGAGAGGCACCGGGAAATTCCTCTGTCCAAATCCCTGCAAACGCCACAATGAAGTATCGTAGTCCAGTGAACTCCTCATTCCACAGCAGCCAAAACGAGCCTGTGCCAAATCCATGGCATTGGTGAACTGTTCCTGTCCCGGAACTCCATAATTGCTTTGCAAAGATCTCACCATTTGACCCTCATCCAAGCTGATTCCCAGGCAATGTGGCCAAAGGGTTATGGCAAGGCATAAAACCGATTCGGTAAGAAGGAGCACCACAACACTCAGGAAGTAAATGGTCAAAAAGCAGTAGGTGTGAAGGCAGCTGGCCCAAAAACCCACAACAGCAGCTAGAATGGCCACAAATCCCGCGATTGCCACGCCCAGTGCGATATAAAAAAGCAAAGGCTGCGGAAGTGAACTCAATCGATCACTGGATGAAGCCAAGAGTCTGGAGAGCAGAATACGCTTATGGTCGGAAAATATGTACAAGCCAGAAACGATCAGCAGCAAGCCGCAGATCTGAAATAAAAATCTATATTAAATAGAAGTCATCAAAGAGGGGAAACGTTTATTTCCATCAGGATGAACCCAAAACAAAACTTTCACTTTAGTCAGTTGAATAACACACTCACCAAAAACAAGAAGTTGCATAAATTGAGCACGAATTTGTAATTAAAACAGCGACCCATGTTTATATCGATGCGGGTGTGGTCTTTTGTAATAAATTAGAACCTAGTTTGTTATGACGAAATGCAATAATTGCGACATGAGCAGCGATCAGTAGTGGAAGATATATATATCCCGATGTGCTGCATGCTCATGTGCATATATAATCCCAAGCGAAACCTAAAACAAAACCAACAATTTAAGCTCGTCTTTATTCGATGCGGCGCTGTAGACGGTAAAATTTAAACTAAACGCTGGGGAGAGGCAACATTCTGTGGCAAGTTCAAAGCAGCGAAAGTAAGAGACCACAGAGAATTCACTTGTAACTCTCTATAAAACCCTCGATGGGCATAAACTAGCTACTCTCATTGAAACTTTTCAAGCAAAACAAAACTGAAAATGCCATTCCGCCACCAACATTTTAAACCGGCGATTGAAGAGAGAAACCTGCGGATGGGCGCAATGTTCGCTGCTCTTATTTGATCACTGGCATCTGCAGCCATTTGGAACCGTTTTCCAACAATAGCCGACAAACAACAGAAAAACTCCACCAGTTGAACTTTAATTATAACGAGACCCCGGGACCAGTGTTACATTAAAACTTTTCTTTGTAATGCTGATGGTCTAAAAAATGATTTGATTAAATCAGTTTGGTTTTGCATATGTGACATATTCTATCAAAGTAGGCTTTACAAAACACTTCACCTCATAAGTCTGAAATTCGGCTTTTTAACATTAAAAAAAAAAATTGTATAAAATTTTAAGAATTTAAAACCCATTTAAAAAGCTTTTAAAATCGTATATTTAACCTAAATTATGCTTAAAATCTCGAGCCGCCGCAAGATGCCAGTGACCGAGCAACTTCCTCGTGTAACCAAGATAGTGCATCCAACTCCAAGAAGAAGAATCAATCCCTTGAAGGAACCAAGCACCCAGCAACAGTTTTCTTACGGCCAAAACAGTCAAAATGTCACCGAGGAGTTGAAAAATCGTTTGGCGGTCCTTCAGCGGCGAGTCAAGGAGTGGAAACAAGAAGCAAAGTCTGATATTTAATGTCAATCTAAGAAAACACCGTAACTCATTTAATAAATAACCATACCAGCTTACTATAATAAATCTATAGTTTTTATTTGATCATGCTTTTCCCATTTTCTTGGGCAATTAAATGTAAATAAAATGAACAAATAAATATTAAATAAACAAAATAGTAGAATATTGTAGTTGTAAAGATAGTTAATAAGTCTAAACTCTAAGTAAAAAAAAAAATGGTTGGCTTTAAGCAAAATTAAAAATGATAGTGGAAAATAAAGCAAAATTATTGATTTGAGTTGAATATTTTTTTATATTTTAGGGGTTTTGTTATATGCGCTTTTTACCTATTTAAAATAAATTTATTTGCAGTGTTTTTCGTTTATCTTTGTTAAGTAAATAATTCTGCAAAAAAATTGATAAATTTCAAAAAGAAATAACAATGTTTTATTTTGTTCAAGCTTCTCACCCATTTTCAGCCCGATGAGGCATTGCAAATTTAGTGCCTATTGCCAAAACTCACAGAGGTCATTGTTTCCACTCAGGGGGTGAAGTGACCTACTTTGCAGCGCGACTTTTAAGCAATCAATAGTGCGTTGATTGCTACGGCTTCTCAGGGGCCGAATGATGTTTGACTTCCACGGTTCGCAGTCATTGGGTATTTAGTCGTCAGTTGAAGAGAACACACCATGGAGCGTTGGCGCAACAAAGTGGCTGTGGTTAGTGGAGCCAGTGCTGGAATTGGTGCAGCTTGTACCCGGGCTTTAATCGGTGCCGGAATGGTAGTTGTGGGCTTGGCCAGGCGCCAGGAAAGAGTGGAGCTGCTCCGAAAGGAACTGAGTCCCGAAGAGCAGTCCCGATTACACTCAATCAAGTGCGACATCACGCAGGAGGATCAAGTATTGAAGGCCTTCGATTGGACAACTAAAGAGTTGGGTGGTGTGGATGTTTTGGTCAGTAATGCTGGAATTATGGGAACCGGAGAACTAAGTGAACGAAATGACGGACCTGCAATGCGTTCCACAATCGAGACAAATATCATGGGCACAGTTTATTGCGTTCGCGAGTCCTTTCATTCGATGCGACAACGCGGCACCGAGGGCCATGTGGTCATCGTGAATAGTGTGGCGGGTCACCAGGTTCCCAATTTGGGTCCCCAACTCCCTTCACTTAACATCTATCCGGCCACCAAGTTTGCACTTCGCGCCATGAATGAGATATATCGCCAGGAGTTTCAGCGACACAAAACTCAAGTTAGAGTTTCGGTTAGTTTAGTTAGCGTCCTTAAAGTTTAGTTCCTTAATTATATATATTTTTAGACCGTTAGTCCCGGCATAGTTGATACAGACATCCTGCCGGAACAAATCCAGGGTATAATCAAGGAGCATATGCCTATGCTGCGAAGTTCCGACGTCGCGGATGCCGTTCTTTGGACCATCGGCACTCCGCCCAACGTTCAGGTAATAAAAGAAAGGTAGAAAAGAAAGACACTTAATACCATAATACAAGCTTAAGAGAAAATTTTTTATACCAAAAATTAATGGTGCTATCATAGCTGCTAAATAAGTTATAAAACACTGCTACAAACTTTATTTATTTACGATAAATATTGATTTTTAATTATTTTCCGATCATTGACAGGTGCACAACATAACTATCAAGCCACAAGGAGAAAAGTTCTAACTTCGATTCTACTGACGGAAAGCATAAATTGGATTTTCATTACAGAAATACAGAAAAGGCATTTCTTAAATAATATTTGTTTTAATAATTTATTATTACTTATTTTATTGCTTTAATTGTTGGCCAAACATCAGATAAATAAATAATCCTTGGTTAATCTAGCAAAACCAAATATAAATATTATAATTTCTTAATATTGCTTTCATTTTTCCACTTGTACGATTCCTAAAAGCTGTAAAAAGTCAAAAATCTTAAAAAGGAGAAGAGAAAGTTGAAGCGAAGAGAGACAACCACTTGTTTTGACTTACTTCTTAGACAAATTGTTAAAAATGTTGAATAAATTTGTCCACCTACTCTTGTGTGCAACTAAAGTTATGATTATTTGCAAACAACTTTAACTGGTTTTTAAAAATATTTTCCAAAAAAACACGTGAAATTGCTGCAAAATCAAAGTATCGGCGAATTCGTTTCCCCAATCGCAGAGTTTACTCCACAGCAAACACACTTTGACCCTTTCATCCTTTTTACCCTGCAAAGGACTCTCCTTTTCGCTTTCAGAGTGAATGTAAGAGAGCTTTGGTTCGGTTCTCGGAGTTCTGTTTCATGGGGTCCTTTCCCATTTTGTTCCAAAGCGACATTACAGTGGCTTTTACTGCATCCTTTTGATTCAGTTGTGTGGAGCAAGTTGCTCTTTAAACATCGTCCTTGTTGACACTTTCTTTCCTACTTTTTTGTATTGTTTTTTTACTTTTCATCTACTGCCATCTGTTGTCGCGTGCATCTGTTGATTGTGCTTTTGTCAGATGGTTTCTTTATTTTTATTTAAATATTTGTAAAGTTAATAACTTTCTCAATAAAAAATGATGTATCCTAATGCCAAAAAACAATTGATAATTGACAAGATACCGACAATTTTTTAACACTATAAATGGTAAAAAAGTAGTACAGTCTTTTCTATCACCCAACGGATAGTTTTACTTTTCTCTTTTAGAATTATACCTGGATCATGTTTGATGGAACCACATCACCTAGTTAAGAAACTCATTTTAAATTCACATTTAACTTTCAGTCCCGACGCGGAACAATGACTAAATTTACTGCAGAACCGCCACCTCGTTTGATTTGGTTGGAAAATCGTATTATTAATATTTATGAAAGCTGAAAACTTTTTCGTTTATATATTTAATGGGAACTGGAACCCATTGAGTCCATTAAGGATGCTCATGGTGCTGTGGTTAAAAGGAGGGTTGGGCTGTGAGGATAAGTTCACCTCATTACGTTTTGTTGATTTAAGTAAATAATTCAAGTGAATTACGCTTGGGCTAAGATAGCCAAAAAGTTGATTTAGAAAACAAAATGTATATAAATAAGAAAACAAAAAATATACTAAAATGTTTTTTTTTCTTCCACTAAATCAACTCATATCATAATGGTCAGAATCTTTTCTTAAGTGGTATATATAAAATTAAGAAAACAAACTGCTCGGATAAATCATTCCTTATCGCAACAGTGCAAACATTTTATCATCCGAAACAAATTTTAAGAGGACAAAATTGTTTGAAAACCAGTGGCCAATAAATTATTTATTTGGAAACATTTTACCTTGCATTTGCTGGCTCATTTATATAACAATACACGTTTTTGAACAATAAATTAATGTTTAGCCGCTAATTTGACTATGCAAACTTAAATTTCAAATATATGTGCCTATATCCATATAAATTTTGCGTAATCCAGGCTATCGATAAGGCAATTAATGTGTGGAGAACAGCGAGCCATTTTGCAAATGGTCATATGTTAAGCGCCGGCCACCAAAATGACATCGATGCGAGATTATAAATCACGGGTCGTGTGCTCCCGTGGTCGATGGCAATACAAGTACTATTGAAAGCCATTGCGATGAACCTCAGTACTCGTAAATCATAAAGGACCTCCTTCCCAGCGTCCTCAGCTTCTGGTCTGTTTTATTCTTTAGAAATTTATGTCCTTGAATGGAATTCTGTCTTTTGTCTTGGCTTGGCAAACTCCAGTCTGGAAGTGCTGTTTGTGAGAGATATGCTAATTAAATTTAGGCCAAAATAAATACCAGCTTAGTTGGTTCAGGTAATTGAAGACTTTTATCCGGCCAATAAGTGCTTTAAAGTGGATCCACTTTTTGCGCTTAATCAGCAAGTTTCATGAGCTTAAGCCGGTTGGTGTGCATCAATCCATTAAGGATTTTTGAAATCTGTATACATCCGTCTGCTGCCTCTCGAGTCAATACTTCGTAAAGTATGCATCGTATATGCAAATAATAAATTCACAAGATAAACGGAGCTGACGTCACTGACTTCACAGCATGGGCAACCGGTTTGTTGGAGATGAAGAATTCAGGACACTTGCTTTGATGACAGGACAGGCTTTACACCGACTGCGTTCGGCTCAATTCATTCAATCACGTTAAATAGATTCGGTATGAGTTTCTGGAAGCATCAGCTGCAGACTGCTTTTACCATAGGAGATGCAGCCTATTGTCCTCTTGGCCAAATATGAAATCATGGGTGGAGCATAAGAGATTTTTTAGGAGGGTTTGAAAAATAAATCTAAACATTACAAATTATTATATTTCACAGCTCGAAAAAATTAAAGATTTTTTTTAAATCTTGTATAATTTAGCTGCAAAAGGAACAATAGAATTAATTTCCAACTTTTAATAAATTGTTTTTAATACTTATTTAATTGAAAAATATTGTTTTAACTTTGTATAATTTTTATTAAATAATTCATTAATATTATTCAGAAGCTACATGACCCCTTTTGAATCCACCACTGCTGCATAATTACATTCCCATATGTATGTTTGTTTAATTGAATGAAGATGACAACAATGATTGACATCGTTGACTTAAGTCATTACACAATGTCCCATGTGCCAGGATGAATATTGCAATGCGAAGTGTGCTGTACCATCGTTTAAACATTTCATCGTGAAATTAATTTGAAAGCCTCGCTATAACGTAGCTTGATTGAATTTCCTCTGCCAGATTTTGTGAAAATAATTTATATTGAAATTATATAATACGAAAACAACGAAGTTTATGGCGCAATAGATTTCCATGAATAATGGTTGATTCGGCAGGACATAATTTGTGTGTCGGGTACAAACTTCCAGGACTCTCTCATCGCCGTTCGCCTCGTCCGCACCACGGCTCATATGCTTTTCATTTTCATTGGTTATTTGTCGCTTGAGTTGCTTTTCGGCCATAAAGATTATAATCTTTGTATGCTATACGGACACCAACAATAACAATAAAAAAGGAATTTGTTCTACCACAACCAAGCCAAAGCTGTGACGGAAAATATTTCTACCAAATCGGATAAAGAAAGTAAGAAAAACAAGAAAATAGAGTGTGGCAAGGATAGGAAAAACGTAAAGTTTATCTTGCATAAAATGAGCCTTAATAATAGTGCTTTTTAGACCTAGGAAAAATAAGTAGAAGATCCAAGTCCAAGTTATATTGAAAAAATAAAGGAAACACAATATTTTGTGTGCAATATTTTTTTTATTTTATAAAATTGGGAATGTACTTAAATCTATTTAAATTTAATTTAGCGATAGTATGATTGTTAGGACTGGTTGTTTGTATTTAAGATTCCAAAAGAGGAAATCTGTTTATGAATTGGATGACGTCTTCCGACTGGCGATTTATTCTCTCGGCTCGCAGCTTCCTGTCGTTGGTTATATCTCTCAGAAAAGTTGACCAGTTGGATGCAAGATTCGGCAACTTCTCAATGGATATCTCAATGGGAGACATTCCATTTTTCTGGCTGTTTTGGTTTTGTCCAACCGAGGAGTTTTCGGAAACAGATACGGTCACAGTCATGTTTGAAATATTTTGAAGTGCGATGATCAGGCTCTTGAAGCAGACTGATTTGAAACGGGCCAAGCATTGGTTTATATAGGAAGACAGGTAACTTTTTGGCAACCCGTTCAGGTAGAATCCGCGGAAAACCCCATGGATTCAGATCTACGAAGGGCTTAGGTAAAGCATTAACAGCTGCCATCCAAAGCCTGATAAGTAAAGTCCCAACAGATGGAAGGGTCTAATAACGCCATAAATGCAATAAACTTAGGTATACAATAAGGTTTAGTAAGCCCAACATTTTTCGAACAAATTGGTATGGCGTACGTGAGCTGTGAAGGATTGAAAACCATTTTTAATTCAGGTACGGGTTAAAATTCCATCACTTTGTGTATCTTGCGTATTTAAGGCATTTTGGTTTTTAAATAATTAAAAGGTTACAAAGTTCTCAAAAATAGAAAAAAAAATGGAGTAACCAACATATTCATTTATGTAACTGAAATTTCTAGTTAACTGAGAAGGCTCTGGGTAATAAATTCATTTTCGCACTGTTCCAAGTTTAACAGTATTTAAACAAATTTCAGTCGGGAATCATTTTTCTTACGAACTTTTTACCTTGTACCTTGACTTTTTCTTTTACATTGACTTGGTGGCGTAATCAAAATAATCACAAGTTATTCCAGAAGATTCAAGATGCCCCTTCCAGTGCAAGAATCAAATGTGTTGAAGAAGGGGCGTATTAATTCGACCAAACAAATTTCAACAGAGGATCTTAAAAATCGCCTGTTTGCTCTTCAAAAGAGAATCAGTGAATGGAAGTCTATACAAAAAAATGAAGTGAATCAGAATTTAAGTTTGTGGGAATCCCAGTTAGCAGATTTTCAGATTAATAAAGGATAATGTAACAAATTACAATGATACCAAAAATTTGTCATACTTTATATAGTTTATCATATATTTTTGATGGTGTGAGTCCGTTTTATTTTTATAAGTACTTGCTTATGCAGTGAATTCGATAAGCATTAAAACGAGCCCTTCAGGTATGCATAATATTTTTCGCCGACATTATTTTTTTGTTGTCAGAATATTTATACGCGCACATTCCATTCCTGGGTGCTGTCGCCTGCGAAATTGAGCAATTTAATTATACTCGTATGGAAAAATAATGATGCTGCCTCTGCACATTCCCTGGAAAGGTAAACATTGACATCCAGCGAAGGCTTCAAACTGCCAGGCGACAATTGCAATTAATTGCATATTTTAAGCCATTCCAGATTGGAACCGCAGACACCGTGAACAACAACAATCGCCCTACAAAAAGAAAAACAAAATATATGTTTAATGTCCATAATAAAATGTTAAAACAAAAGGATTGGCTTGACCGTTATCAAAGGAAAGAAATTAATTGGTCTTTATGCCAAAAATTAACAATTATGACAATAAAACCCATTCTGTTTATTATAGGAATAACCGAATTGTAATTTTTAATTTATCGAGGCAATAAAAATTAAAATTACAGCTTTAAAAAAAGGCAGAATTGTATGGAAACAAACAAGTTTTTATGGGTAATATTTGATAATAAAATATATGTAGCGTGTGCATATAAAATATATTGTGATTTAAATATAAATTCAGATATTTTTGAGCTAGAAATATGAATTTTCCTTTCAGGATTCCCATGCCAAGAAATGGAAATTTTTAAGTTAGTTTCTGTGGCACCCCAGATAAAAAGTACTTCCGCATTTTATGGCACTCTTAGTTCCCATACGCCGTGCAATTGCCTATCTCCTTTTCGCAACATTTTTAAGGGTCCTCTAGGTGGAAACTCGCGACTTTTACAAGTTTTTTGTCTACTACTTATGTGTGTGGAGGCCTGAAAACAAGAAACAAATTGCAGATCGCACAGGCAACTTGGCGTGTGTGTTTGCCACTTGACAGTCGTTTAAATGCATTAAAATATTACCTTCTTCAACATGAGCAACACAAAACGAAGGCAAGGGCAAACATAACATCCGCCGAATTTTCACATGCGATATACTGCGGGAAAATCAGTGGGGGGGGAAAAACGGTCTACGGGGAGGTAACGCCCACTAGCAGGCCCGGGAAAAATCAAATCATCAGCCAAGGCCGCGCCATCCAATGACTACAACAATGGTGAAAGGATAACTTTGGCGTGGCAGTCTGCTGCCCGGACAGGAAAAGGGTTTGCCACAGAATTGAAGTGGGAGGAGATGGAATGACTGAGTCGACTAGTTAACACAAATTGAAATTTTTGAAGCAGCAGACCGAAAAATAGAAATACTAGAACAAAGATAGCATGTTCCCGAATTCAAATCCCTTTTTCAAAGGGTTAAACCAGTTTTGTTCTGCAGCTAAATGTACACGAAACCTAATTTTGGTTCACTTTTCAAGCTTTAAAATTAATGGTAGCTCATCACACAGAGAAAGGATGCTTTTAAGGCATGAAAACGCCTGGGAGAATTACACACAATAGGCACTAAGCACTTGCACTTAAATAAGTAAATGAAGATTTTCTTGAAACAAATAATTTAATGCCGCATTGTGAATTTAATAAGGCTTAAGTACTCCGCACTAAAAGAGTAAATCTACCAAATTTGTACGGAAGGAAAATAGAGGAGACACTATAAAAGGATGGGAGGAAACGGGAGTGGCCGGCGGAAAACAAAATATTCATGAACACAGCAGTCTTATAAATAAATTTCAGCCCCTACACAGAACCCATCATTGGCACTTCCACCCTTAACCTCAGTCGCACCCACATTTTCAACCTCGTTGTCGTCTGCCGATGCAGCTGCTCTGCCACCAAAAGTGGCAAGAAACTGGGAAAGTGGCATCGAAGCGGCGCGAAAAACTTAAAAATATGCCAACAGAGAGAGAGAGAGAAAGAGAGAAAACGAGAAAAAGAGGAGCATCAAGCTTTTATGATGGTTCGATTTCGTGGAATTAGCAATGAGCTAGAATTGCAACAGGATGGAAGCAGTTAGAGGTCGAACATTTGCCACTGAAAGGAAGTCGCTTATGCAAGGAGCGAAATTTTAATAATTCCAGCGAGGTTTTCCAAGGACTTGCAATGGTGGCTGCAAAGTGGCGAATACATAATGCAGCGGCCATCAGGGTGCAACCAGTAAATACTCTCAACAGGATATTTTTAGTATTGCACCTCTGCAAAAGAGGTATTCAACCATAAATGGTATATTTAAGAGATATATTGTACAGAAAAGTTATGGACTTAGAACTGATAAGATTTTATCACTTTCCTGCAAATCTATTTTTTGAAAATTTTGAAAGGTCATAAAAATAACAACATCTACCAAAAAAATGGAAAATAAACTAATGATGCAGCTTGATATATATTTCAATAACAAATTCATAGAGGCAGGGCCGGAGAAACAGTTTTGAGTGGGGTGATGACCTCACAAATTTTCAATATCCGCCCCCCCCACGCCCCTTTTGTTTCAAAATCATTCCAAATCATGATGAGGGAAACACTGTTGACATAATATAAGTATAAATTTTAATAAAACAACAACACCAATCAATCAAAATGCAACAGGTAAAAAAAACTATTTTAAATGTAAAATGTTAATTAAAATCCATTTAATATTAATGTAATGTTAATTTAATGTTAAAATAATGTTAATTTAATATAATGTAAATGTAATGTTAACTAAATGTTAATTAAATTAATATGGCCACGTCAGCGACAATGATAATTAATTATTTTTTTCGTTTTCTCGCACCTATAATTCCCAAGTGGTTCTGGCTGATTCGTAGTGGGATACCCCTTGATTTTGGCCAATTTCTCAGTTCTCCGGGATGACCGGCAGTTTCTCTAAGAAACTTTTTCCGGTCTCTGGAAGTGTGTGTGTGTGCGTGTGTGTTAGTGACGTGGTTCCAGAGTGGGAGAGAGTATCTGGCCAACTCCTCCTACTGGAGTCCACTCCCGGATGCAGTGCATCATGGGTCGACTCCTCCTACTGGAGTCCACTCCCGGATGCAGTGCACCATGGGTCGACTCCTCCTACTGGAATCCACTCCCGGATGCAGTGCATCTTGGGTCGACTCCACCTACTGGAGTCCACTCCCGGATGCAGTGCACCATGGGTCGACTCCTCCTAGGATGCACTGCATCATGACCTGACTTGGCATGAACTTAAAGGTGCCCGATCCCTTCCTGCATGTAGTGGACTCCAGGATGCAGGGCATCCAAACCTGAAAAGGTGAGTTGCAGTTTTTTTTAATTATGTGATGACGTGGCTTTTGTAAAAAAAATGCAGTTAATTAATTCAATTTTTTTTATATTTTTTTCAGGTTTTTGGTTGTGTATTTGGCTGATTGCAGAAAATAATTGGTGACACCATCCAACTTGTAACTTGAAGTTCGACATCAGGATGCACTGCACCAAATGTATTACGCAGTGAGTACATCCTTTAGACAATAAATAATTAAGTTATATATTTTAAAAAATCATAAATATTTTGACAAAGAAACTAAAAGAAACAGATAAAGATCTGAAAGTTTTCAAGAACATGAAAGAAATTTGAAAGGTAAATTTTATCAAATATTGAACTTGAAGTACATGAAAATCAAACACAATTAATAATTGTAAACAAGTAGCGACATATAATATAAATATATGTAGTATATATATAGTAATAGTTGTAAGAATGCGGTTACCGGAAATATATAGTATGCTGACACCACATAAATGGACTGGACAACAGGCTGCAGGATCAATTATGAATGGCGTGATCTTCTATTGAACTCCACTCCAGGATGCAGTGCATCACCTCATTGGGGTGTGTATTTTTTAAACAACCGATTTGTATAAAATAATTTAACTAATATTTTGGAATGCTTCTTTTCATTACAGTGATGACTATTCCGTTCTGCTTGGAGTGAACTTCAAGATGCAGTGAATAAAAAACCCAAAGAGGTAAATACCTTTTTTACTAACAAAATAATTCTAACTATTATTATTTGTAACAAATTATTTATTATTATTTTTTAATTTCAGGATAAAGTGTTAA